CCGCCGACGCCGCCGCGCCCCGACGCATCGCCTCGGCGTCGCGCGCGATGACCGCCCGTCGCAGCTGCTCCTCGCTCAACTGCACGGCGGCCACGTTGAGAAAATCCAGCGGGTCCGCCCCCGACGCGATATGCCTCTGCAGCAGCGCGAGGTTCTGTTGCGCCTTGTACAGGCTCACCGCCGGCGCCTGCGAGACGGCGGTCAAGTCGCCGTTGAAAAGCGTCGACAACGCGCCGAGCCCGCCGCCGCCGAGCCCGCCGCCGCCGAACGCGGTCGGCGCGGGATACGCCCCGCCCCGCGCGGCGTTCAGCGCGCGCGCGAGCTGCGTCGACGCGGAGGCGTTGTCCAGGGGCCCGCCCGCGGCGCCGAGCGCGCCGAGACTGCCGAGACTGCCGAGACCGCCGAGCGCGCCGCCGAGACCGCCGCCGAGACCACCGAGACCACCGAGACCACCGAGACCACCGAGACCACCGCCGAGACCGCCGAGACCGCCGCCGACGGAGTCGTACAACGCCTGTAACCCGGGGGACACGGCGACGGCGTCGCGCGCCGCCGCGCGCGCGTGCTGCTGCATGTACTCCAGGTACAGGTTCTGTACGAACTGCGCGGCGTTCACCGCGAGGTCGTTCCTCTGCGACACGGGCGGGAGCAGCGACCGCGGCGTCGGCATCGGCGTCGGCGTCGGCGTCGCGCGCGCCCCCCCCGGGGCCAGCCCTGGATCGCCGCCAGCCAGCGCGGTCGCTCCGTCCAGCGGCGGATACGGCTTGATCGGGCGCTCCGTCGTTCGCTTCTGCTTCTTCGCCGCGGCGGCGGTCGGCTGCGCCCGCGCGCCGGCGCCCCCGGTCGGTCTCGCGGCCGGGGCCCCGACGCGGAGCGGCGCGGCGCCGACCGCCGTCGTCGTCGTCGTCGCCGCCGCCGCCGTCTTGTCTTGGCTTTGCTCTCGAGGCACCCCCCCCGCGTGCTTCAGCGCGACCGCGGCGTCCACCTCTCGACGCATCCGGAGCAGATGCCGCGGGACGCGATACCTCTTCGACGCGAACACGAACTCTTTCCTGCTGTACGCCGGCGCGTTCTTGACCACCACCTCGCCCGCGGCGTTCACTGAGGGCCGTTCTATACAAGCGAAAGTCGGGGTGGAGTTCAAAGGCGTCAGTTGGAGTTCATAGGCGCCGAGGGCGGGGATTGAAAGCGTGGGGTGGGCGGAGAGATGCGCCGGCAAAAGTCCTTAAGGATCGGCGTTCACCACGCCATTGGGGTCGTATGGGGACCAGTGTATAGAACGTACCTGACTTCCTCACGATGCGGTACGTCCCGGCGCCGACGTACCATCCTCCGTGGGCGAAGAACCACTCCGTCTCGCTCCCGTCGTCCTCGTCCTCGATTAACCGACTGCCGGCGCCGCCTTCGCCGAGTCGCGCGTACTTTAAGTGCGCGTCTTCGCACCGCACTTGCATGACGTACTCGTCCATCTTCGATTTCCTGATGTAGTTGAGCCCGCACTTCTTCCCGGCGACGACTTTGCTCCCGCGCGAGGCGACGACGTAGTTAAAGTGCGCGTGCGTCGCGTGCATGTGCGTCTCGAGCTCTCTGATCCCGCGCATGTTACACGCGCAAAACGGGCACATGAACCGATCCGTGAGCTCTGTCTTGCACAGCTGTCGCCCGTGGTACATGTAGTAAAACGCAACCTGGATCTCGTGCGGGGGCGGCTTGAGCGCGTCCTCGATCGCCTTGTTTTGGTTCCCGAGCGCAACCTCGCACGTCAGCGCGTCGACGTGGCCCTCCAGACGCGTGGACGTCGTCGTCGGCTTCTTCTTATTCTTCTTCGTCCTAGATCCGTCCGATGGCTCCGCAAACGTCAGCAACCGAAAATGCCCGCGGTGATCGTTCCGCCGTCGTCGATCCCGCGGCGTCGACCGTGGGACCAGCAGGCGAAACTCCGGCGCGCGAATCGTCTCCAAGCGTCTCAGCGGTCGATCGTCCTTCGTCACCGGCTTGAGCAACTCCGCCAGGGATCGCTTCCACAGCCACGCGCGGCGGAATTCGTCCCCCTCCGGGATGAGCCCGAACACGCGCGACTCCCTCGGCCTCATATTCCCCGCGGCCGAAGACTCGCCGCCTTTCGCCGCCTTTCGCGGACTCGTCGGGCTAGGCTTCTCCGGGCGTTCCACCGCCTTCAATCGCGATCGAAGCCTCTTCGCGCGGTTCGCGCTCATCGCGACGGCGGCGTCGCACAGGACGTTCCCGAGACCGTTCAAGCCGTCGAAGACGACGATCGCGACCGTCAGCGTGGACTTTTCCTGCGCGTCCGACGGCGATATTCGCGCCGTGTTCTTCTCCCGCTCGGAGCTTTTCCCGTTAAACTCCAAGACGTGATTGATCTCCGGGTGATCGAACTCCACGAGCACCGCGTCCTTCGACGGCGCCGCCGCCGCGGCCTTGGTCGGTCGTCGTTTCGGCAGCCGAACCTCGACGCACTGGAGGACGTCCAGGCGCACGTCGCCGCAGTCCATTCCGGGCGCCGGGCGCGCGTGTCCCTCCACGCGGTCGACGCCGAGCACGGACTTTAACAGCGGGTCTTTCGACGCCTCCGACTGCGCGGGGTCGTAGCACAGGATCGCGTACGCGACCGGGTCGTCGAGCGCGTCCGCGGGCGGGAGCGGGGGGATCTCGACTCTCACGCGGACGAGACTCCTGCGTGAAGCACGATGGGGGAGAGGACGAGCGGAGGCGTCAGCGGCGGCGCGCGCGGGGTTGGGGAGGGCGTGACGTCGAGAATAGCGCGCGGGTAGGGGGTCGCGACGCGCGCGGAGGCGCGTCGTCGTCGCGCGATCGCGCGAGATGCGAAAATCGAAAATAAAAAACGTGGCGTCAGGGTCCCGCGAGCGATCGGGCACGCATCTTCGAGGCTCGGCGTGCCGCTCCGCGCCCGGCCGACGCTGCTGTACGACAGCGTCCGTCGCAGGAACACGGGCTGCAAAAAAAAAGGGGGGGAACGAGAAGAGGGAGGCGTCAGCGCGCGCGATCGGACGCCCTCGCGGCGGGGCGATAATTAAGTTCTAAACCCGAACCGCTTCGGGGCTCGAATCTCTCTCTTCGGGGAGGACGAACACGCACCCGCCGCGTCGCTCGATCCGTGATGGTGTTGTACAGCCGAACCTGCGTCGCGAGAGGGGCGGCAGGGAGCGTGTCAGCGACGTCGCGGACGGCGGGGGAGGAGAGAGACGGCGCGGCGACGGCGACGACGCGTCCGCGCGACGCGCACCGGGTCGACGAACGCCGCGAACGAGCCATCGAGCGGCTCCGCGGGCGGCGCCGTCGGGGCTTGGTACGCCGGCGCGGCCATTCCGCCGCGTCAGTTCCTCGTCAGGGGCGCGGAGAACTGATCGCGACGATCGAACGCCGGCGTCACGCGCGCGTGCGCTCGCCCCGCGCGACTTTGTCGCCCCCCGCGCGCGAACGAATGTAAGAAACATCACGGTCGCACCACGGAATAAAAATAAAAAATAAAAAGTTTAAGCTGACCAATCACGACGCGTTCTGAAAGAGGTTCCGCCAAGGGTCGCCCCATTTACCTTTTTTACTTCCTAACACTGTAATGGGGTGTTTTCAGGTAGGGGATTTTGGGATTAACTCAAGAAACACCGTTTACAGTTCTCGACTCGCGTACTGAATAGGTCATATTATTGTCTGAGAAAATGGTTATTCGTTGTTCTCGGCGATGAATTCCGATGAATTCCGATGAAGTCGCGCTCGGCTGCCAGACGAAGCGCGGAAGAATTGCGCCCGCGCGCGCAGAGCGAATCCGCGCTCGAACGCACGTCATGGCGCCCGGGTCTTCGCGATCTCGCAGCCGCAGCGGCAGGTCGCGGTCGAGGAGCGACGACGCGATGTCGCGATCGCGCTCGAGATCGGCCGGAGAGATCGTCGACGCGGAGGCGAAGACGACGTCGCCGCGCGGAGACGGAGGATCGAGCGCGATGAAGTCGAAATCCGAAGAGGGCGTCGCGACGACGCGGACGGACGAGAACGACTCCACGTCCACGGCGGAGACGAAATTTCTCAAGATCGCCAACTTGACGACGTTCGTGAACGGCGGGCACCTGAGCGAGATCTTGGGGAACTACGGCGTCGTCGTCCGCGCGGAGATCGCGTTCGATCGCACGGAGAACAAACCGACGGGATTCGCGTTCGCGGAGATGGGCTCGGCGCGCGACGCGTCGAACGCGATCGCGCACATGGACGGCGGGATGATCGACGGCGGCGAGGTCACGCTCACGTTCGCGTCCGAGAAGTCGATGCCGCCGCCGCGCGTCGCTAACGACGGGGTCGATCGCGGAGGACGAGGCGGAGGACGAGGCGGACGAGGATTCGGAGTCAGAGTCGTCGCGCGCAGAGACTCGAGCAGGGACCGCGGCGGGAACGGCGGCGGGCACAACAGGGGCCCCGCGCCGTTCGACCGCGGCGGCAGAGGCCGCGGCGGAGGGTTTGGGTTCGGACGCGCGCGCGACGACGACGGATTCAATCGCGGAGGTCGTGGAGGAGGAAGACGCGGCGGCGGCTTCGGATTCGACGACGACCGAGGCGCCCCGCCGCGTCGAGGAGATCTCGATCGTCGCGGGCGGTCGCCGCCGCCGCCGCGACGACGCTCGCCGCCGCCGTTCGCGCGCCACCAGGGCCCCGGCGGCGGCGGCGGCGGGCGGCGTCGATCGCCGCCGCCGTACCGCGCGCGCTCGCGCTCGCCGGGTTTCGGGAGCGTCGGACGGAAGCGCGCGAGGTCGAGGTCGAGGTCGCGGTCGCGGTCGCGCGGCCGCTCGCGCTCCGGCGGCGGCTTCCGCGGCCGGTCGCCGAGGGGCGGCGGCGGCTTCCGCGGCCGTTCGCCGATGCACGGTGGTCGCGGCGGCGATAGGGACAGGGACAGGGACAGGCGGCGGTCGCGGTCGCGGTCGCCGCCGGGCCGCGGCGGAGGCGGAGGGAGGCGGCGCCGGTATTCGAGCGCGAGTCGGTCGTCGTCGACGAGTCGATCGCGCGGCGGCGGCGGAAGGCGCGTCCGCTGTCGTCGCGGCTTCGTTCTTTGACGCTCTTCGTTTGCGCGCGCGTTTCTTTTGTTTTTCTGTTTTCGTCGCTCGCGCGCCATCTGACGCGTCTCTTCTCTCTCTTCGATTTCTCGAGCAGGGGACGACGACAAGGACGGTCCAGGAGCGAATCGCGGAGCAGCTCGTGAAAGAAAAGCCCGGAGTTTGCGTTTGTTTGAGAACGAGTAGTTTCCCGCGTTGAAATTCGGACTTTCTGACTGTTTGCTCGTGTGACTCGAACCCTCCGTACACGTACACGCGCGCGCGCGAACGAGCGGCTCTCCTCCCCGTCTCTCGTTCGCGCACGAACGCGCTCGCGACTCGCGCGCGCGCGCGGGCGGCTCGGAGAGCGCCGATCCCCGACCCCCGCCCCCACCGGGCCAGTGCATGCTCAGCCCGCGACCGGGCACCGCGTCCGCGAAGAAGGAGCGCGCGCCCGCGACGACGCGCGACCCCCCGGCGTCGTCGCCTCTCAAGCCGCCTCCGATCGATCGCGGCGGGAGCGCGCGATCGCCGACGTCTTCGTCCTCCGTCATGACCGTCGTCGAGCCGTTCGACGTCGAGGACCCCAAGGCGGCGTCGAAAGACGGCGAGAGCAAGGACAAGGCGGACAAGTCCCCGGAGTACAAGAAGGAGGGCGTGATCCAGACCGTGCGCGCGCGCGGCGGATGGCTCACCGTGTTCTTCGTCGGCCTCGTCCTCGCCGCGCTCGTCGTGGAGGAGTTCGAGGACGTGCTCACCGCGAACGTGGAGCTGTCGTACTTCGTGCCGCTGCTCATCGGGCACGGCGGGAACACCGGGTCGCAGAGCGTCGCGACGGTGATCCGCGCGATGGCGCTGAAGCAGATCAGCACGAGGGACGCGTGGGTCGTCGTGTACAAGGAGAGCGCGGCGGGGTTCGTGATGGGCGCGTTTCTCGGCGTCTTGGTGCGTTCGATGCTTTGCTTTGCTTTTCCTTCCTTTCGCCCGCGCGATCGAGTCCTTTCGACGTCCGATCAACTGACCGATGAACGAACGCACGCCTCCGATCAAAAACCAAACAGGTGTACCTGCTCGCGTTGTGCTGGGACGGGTTAGACCCGATCGTCGGCCTCGTCGTCGCGATATCCCTCCCGCTCGTGAGCTTGTGGGCGAACATGTTAGGCGGCGTGCTCCCTCTCGCGGCGACGCACTTGGGGTACAACCCCGCGGTGACGACCGCGCCGCTCATGACGACGATCGTGGACTCGAGCGGGTTGGTGATTTATTTTCTCACGGCGAAGGCCATCATGCCGGCGTCGATGTTGTCCGTGATGAAAGAGGCGGGCGGCGTCGCGGCCGCGGCGTCGTAGGTAGCCGAGCGAAGAGGGAGGGGATTCTGAGTGAACGGCCGCGCGGGGTTGGCGCGGGGGTCGTCTCGAGGTAGCTCTTATTTAGGATGTAAGCGACGCGAACGATAGCAGCGCGATCGCGGTCGACCGGTTTCATCATCGAGCGCTTCGACGCCCACCCAGGCTTCGACACCAGCCAGGCGCACATCCTGTCGGAGACGCGCGAACCGAATCCAAAGTCTACCCTCGCGCGCGTTTCTTTGACCCAGAGGCGCGTCGCGCGGAGCGACGCGCGAGCGACCGCGATGCCGCGCGCGCGCGAAGACGCGGCGGAGAGACGGTCGCCGAGCTGCTGCGACCGCGTGGTGCGTCGGCGCGGCGATGCCCGCGCGTCGAACCCGCCGCGTCCGCCCGGCGGGCCACCTCTGGCCGCTCGGTCGTCCGTGGCCTCTTCGGTCGCGCGCTTGAATATCCCGTGCATCGTCAGCCCCCCTCGCCTCGAACGCCCCGACGCGAGATCGCGCCTCTGACGTCCTCCCCTTCCCGCCGTCCGCCCCCCACCGCCACCACCACCGTTCACCACGCATCACAGCTCGCGGCGCTGTGCTGCTCGACGTCGCGCGCGGACGACGGCGACGACGCGAGCGCGACGCGGGGCGGCCGCGCGCGACGCGGCGGATCCGAGGACGCGCTCCTGGAGTCCTCGTCCGCGCGCGCGACGCGGTACGGCCGCGACCACCGCCCGCCGGGGTACCGCGCGCCGACGATGCCCTCGCCGCTGACGAACGGCGGTTCGCGCGGCTCGCCCGGGGACGGCTCGAACTCCTCGGACGGCGGCGAGGACGGAGACTCCGCCGCGGTCGCCGCGCGAAGGGAGCGGCGGCGGTTGCTTAAAAAGCTCGGCCAGAGCAGCGACGATCTATGCGACGACGAGACGGACGGCGCGCGCGGCGTGGACGCCTCCGACGTGTCGTTAGACGTCATCGGACGACGCCGTCATCGGAGCTTCAGCGAGAGCACCGCGAGCGGCGGCGGCGGCGGGGTGGTGGCCCACGGAGGGGGCAAAGGAGGCCGCGGCGAGCGGGGGAACGGGAGCGGGGGCGAACGCGGCGGCGGGCATCACAGGACGGGGTCGGGGTATCCCCTGGGGACGGTCGTCTCGGGGTACCCCGCGGGGAACGCCGCGGCGCTCGAGATCCCGGTCGCGGGGGCGGGGACGGGGACGAAAAAAAACGGCGGGAAAACGGGCTCCGCCCTCGGTCCTCGAGACGGCGTTTCGGCGACCCATCGGACGCTCGACAAGGTTCGCGACGCCGCCGCGCACTGGCGCAGCGAGTCCTGCGCGTCGCTCGCGGACGAAGACAGCTGTCCGATATGTTTCGAAGCGTACGACGACGAGAACCCGAAGATGCCGCTGCGGTGCGAGCATCACTTCCACCTGGGGTGCGTCTTCGAGTGGTTCGAACGGAGCGAGCTGTGTCCGGTGTGCGAGGAGAAGATGGAGTTCGCGCCCTCCGTCGGGATGACGCTCTCGGGGGAGTGATTCCGATTCGATTTGGACGATTTGATTACTAAGCGCCACCACGCGTACTGTACTGTATGTACACCGAGTGACGACGACGACGACGACGACGACGACGACGACGACGACGACGACGACGACGACGACGACGACGACGACGACGACGACGACGACGACGACGACGACGACGACGACGACGACGACGACGACGACGACGACGACGACTCGCGTTGCAACGACAAGAATAGTATACAACAAACGCGTCACCGGAGCTTCGCTCGGAGCATCTTCGCGTGCGCTATGCGCGTCGCCTTGACGATCTCCTCCTTCGCGGCGAACATCAGCGCCGACGCGAACACCGTCTGCGTCATCTTCGTCCCCATCCCGCGATAAAACGCGCCGTACCCTTCCTCCCTCACGATCCTCCTCAGCGCGTCGATCGTTCCGTCGTATCGCATCGCCGAGTCGTCGCTCTTCGAGCTCGCTTGAAGCCGCGACTTCACGAGCAACACCGGGTAGGTCAACAACGTCGCGGCAATCTTCGCGAGCGCGCCGGCGACGAACACCTCCGCGGCGGTCAGCGCGATCGGCCGCGAGGCGTTCGCGTTCGACGCGCCGCGTCGCCGCCGCGCCCGCGCTCTGATCGCTTTGAATCGATCCGCCGCCGACTCGTAAAACGCGTATTGCAGCGCGGGGTTGGATACCATCACGAGCGCCGGGACGACGCCCTGCCAGAAGCCTCTCACCCCGGCGTCGGCGTAGATTCCCCGTGCGGTCGCGCGGAACCCGATTTCGCTCGAGCCGTCACGAACCGCGCCGCCGCCGCCGACGCCTCCGAACGCTTCTCTCCCTCTGTCGCCGAAACCGAACGCGCTCCGTAACAGCGCCCACGCGCGCTCCCCGCTCGAGCGCTCTTTTTGCCGCTCTTCGAGCTCTTTCGCCGTCCGCGTCGTCTGCATCTTCGTCACGATCGTCCATATCGGGATCGTCATCACGACGTTGATGCTTCCCGCGCACGACGCGATCGCGAGCGAGGACAGCGCCCCCGGGTTCTGTCGCTTCTTCTTGATGTAAAACGTCCGAAGCGCGCTGTAGAAGAAATTGTAGACGCTCTGCGACGCCACCGTGCCGACGATCGCGGGCTTGATGCCTCGGTACAGCGCGCCGACGCCGCCTTCTTCTCTGACGAGCGCGCGCATCTCCGTCACCGCGTTCGAGCGCGTCACCGGGTTGTCGTTCACGTACTTGGAGAGCGTCTGAAGCGGCGTGGACGGCGACGCCGACGCGTAGTCGTCGTCGACGCCGTCACCATCGTTCGCGTCGGCCGCGCTCCTCCTCGGGGACAGCGTCCCGCTCCAGTCCAAGGACGCGCGCGTCCTCGGCGTGCTCGGGTTGACCTTCTTCAGCGACGACGAACTCTTCGCGAGCGGCGACGGGGACGAGACGCGCGACGACGCGGCGGTCTCGCCGTCGTCCCGGGGGCGCCTCTTCCCTCCTCGCGGCGTGCGATGATGCGTCGACGATGCGGCGACGCGCCGATCCGTGTGCTGGCGCGCGTTGAGCGTCATGAGCGGGTACGTCGTCAGGAGCGCGAGCAGCGCGCCGGTCGCGCCCGCCATCGCGTCCACGGTCGCGCTGGCCGCGTCGTCCACGGGGACGGAGCTCGCCATCTTCTTCGCGCTCGCGGAGAACGTCAGCGCCCCACCGCGGCGCGAGGACACAATGGTGACAATCCATTGCGCCCCATTCGGAGCGCAGCGTTGGACGCGTCCGAACGAGACGAGTGACATTCTGGACGAAATTCTGTACCGCCGTTTTCGCAGTCGTCTCTCGTCTTCTATCTATCCCTCCCCCCATCCCTCCACCCATTCCTCCCTCCCTCAACGCGCTCCTCCTCCTCCTCCTCCTCACTAGTACGCCAACCCCAGCGCGGCGCCCGGGACGCGCGTCCACACCCACGGGAACCACGGATCCAACCATATCCCGATCGCCATCGCGAGCGAACTCGCCGCGTGCCACCGCACCGCCAAATACTTCGTCTTGAACAGCCGCTCCGGCGTCGCCTCGTGCTCCGTGGCGTACCGCGCGATCGCGATCGCGAGCGGGGAGCACAAGAACACCGCGAGCGCGCCCATCCGAGGCAGCGCGCCGATCCACCCCATGCCGATCGCGAGCGCCTGGTGCGCGAGCAGACACGACCTGAGGGGCGTTTTATACGAGCGAACGTCGGGGTGGAGTTGAAAGGCGTCAGATGGAGTTGAAAGGCGTCGTGGGCGGGGATTGAAACCGTGGTGTGGGCGGAGAGAAACGCTGGCAAAAGTCCTTAAGGAACGGCGTTCACCACGCGAACGCGGTCGTATGGGGACCAGTGTATAGAACGCACCTGAGCGTCCGAATCGCGCGTTCCAAGCCGAGCTTCACCACTGGCGACATCTTCCCGGCGGCGCGGTCCCCCGCCTCCTGATGAAAGTGCGACGTGAACAGGATGCACGTCGTCGTGAGCCCGACCATGATTGCCGCGCCGAAGACGCCGCCCTGCGATAAGACCGGCGTCAGCGGCGCGTTCACCCACACGCTGCCGCCCGTGCCCGCGGCCAACGCGAGGTAAAAGGCGCCCGTCGCGAGCGGGCCGAACGCGGCGAAACACAGCGGCTCGCCCAAGCCCTTGTACGACATTCGGAACGGCGGGCCCTGGTACGCCTGCCCGCACAGCACCGCGACGCCGAGCATGGAGAGAACGTTCGAGCTCACCCCCGCGACGTCCACCGTGGACGCCATGACGAGCGCGCCGATCCCGGAGAGCAGGCACCCGACGGCGAGAAGCGAGACTTTATTCACCGCGTGAACGTCGCCGCCCATGAGGCGAACGATCGACTCCGGCTTCCCGCCGCCGTCCATTTCCTTGTCGTCGTCCACGCCCGTCGCCGCGTCCCACGCGTCGTTCGACAAGTTCAACCACGCGATGACGAGGCACCCGCCCAGCGCGAACAGACCGAACTGCGACGCGTTGACGCATCCGTACCAGTGGTGGCACAGCGACGCTGCGACGATTAGCGGCGCGACGCAGACGGAGTACATCGGAATCTTGAGCGCGCGCCACCACAGCGTCGCTCTGGAGACGTCGTCCGGGACCGGGCTCATGCGTATGTTCGGCAGCGCCGCCTCGTTCTGGACTTCGTCGTCGTCGTCCGTGGTCGCCGACGCCGACGCGCGCGCGGCGACCGCTTCCGATTCCGCGGCGTAGGCCATCGCCTCGTCCTCGCCGCCCGCGGACGCGGCCGCGGACTCCGCGAGCGCGGCGAGCGCGGCGAAGTGGTTCCCTTCCCCCGCGGCGTCGCTCGCGTCGTGCACGATCTCGATCTCGACCTCGACGTCGTCCTCCGCCGCGACGTTCGCGCTCGGCGGATCCGACGCCGCCGCGAGCCGTGCGCGTCGTCGCGGGCTCGTCCTCGCGCGCGTCGCGCGCGCGAACGCGACGGCGGCGCGCGCCGACGGCGACGGCGATCGCGTCCACGCGGCGACCGCGCCGATCGTTCTGCGCCCGCGAGCGCGCGTCGGCCTGGACGCGCGCGCGCGAGACGCGAGCGCGACGCGCGACGCGGGCGCGACCGCCGACATCATCGTCGTCCTCGTCTTTGGATTCGTTCGGCCGTCCTCCCGCGCGCGGTGACCGCTCGCGACGTCCTCTCCTCACCCGCGCGCGACGTGATTTCACTCGCGCGCGCGCGCTGCTCTGGCGTGGCGTGCGAGAAGCGAATATCTCCGCGCGATCGTCGCTTCGGGCCGACCCCGTGCGCGCGCGGACGGCGGCGGATGCCGCCTAGCCGTTCCAGATGCCGCTTTTTATCGCACTGGAGATTGTTCGATGGCGGTGCGCGCGCTGATTGGCTGCGCGGGAGATGCAGCGTGCCAAACTGTTTGCCCACACGGCGCGATGTACCGTAGTACGCGCGACGACCGACCGATTTCGCGAAAATTGCGTCCTGTCAAGGCCGAGATCTGATAGTCTGACGCGATTGCTAACAACATCACCAATTTCCGACGTGGACGCGACGCGTCGCGGCGCAGTCGCACGCGCACCGCGCGCCTCCCCGGAGGCACGCGCTCGCGAGGACGCGCGCTCCATTCTTTACCGCGCGCGCGCGCGCTCCCGACTCGCGCGAAGACGCCCCGCGCCCCCGCGCCGCGACGGTGAACCCGGGTCGGTACTGTGGCAGAAGAGATAATAATAATCTCGTCTCGGACGGGGCGCATTCTGTTCTTCGAGTGCCGACATAGCACGCCGTCGTCGTCATGGCGTCGCGGTACTTCACCCCGAGGGTGTGGACGCGCGAGTGCAACCAGCTCATCTCCCTCGCCGGCGACGCCCTCCTCGACGCGCGCCCGAAGCAGGTGGCGCTCAGCGGACCCGCGGGCTTCCTCGGCTCGCGCGTCCTCGCCGCGCTTCTCGACGCGCATCACCATCGCCGCGAAAACGGCCTCGAGCCGGGCGAGGTCGTCCTCCTCTCCTCCTCCCCGGGCAACCTCATGTCGCGCCTGATAAACATCCACGGATACGAGCGCATGAACAGCGTCCGCGCGACGCGCGTGGACTACTACTTCCAGCACGACGTGGACAGCTGGCGCGATCAGCTCGGCAGTCTCGGCATGGGCGGCCCCGACGCCGTCTTCGTGAACCTCGCCGCGCTCGCGGGGCCGCGGAGCGACCGCCCGGACGCGATGATGGCGGTGAACTACCGCGCGCCGGTCGCGGCGGCGCGCGCGTGCGAGGAGCTTAGGTTCGGGCACTGGATTCAGTCGAGCACGCAGGCGGTGAAGGCGGAGCGCGCGGGTCAGGTGCCGTACTCGCGGTGGAAAGCCATGGCGGATTACTCGCTCGCGAGACTCGAGAAGCTGCCCGTGAGCGTGTTCACGCTCGGGCTGCTGTACTGCAAAGCGCAGGGCGTCGTCGGGCAGCGCGGGGACACGCTGAACATGGTGGACCTGACGCTCCTGCCGATCACGCCCATCATGGGCAACGGGCGCGCGCCGCTGCAGCCGTTGGAGGTTGGAGACGCGGCCGCTCGCGTCGCGTTTTGCGCGCTCACCGAACCCACCGAACGTCCGGTGCAACCGCACCACGAGAACCCGAACTGCGCTAACTGGTCCAGGCCGAAGATAGACCCGGCGCGGCAGTACACGTGGCGCGCGTACGACGCGGTGGGGCCGGAGACGATGACGATGCTGAAGCTCATGGAGACGTTCGCGGCGTTGAACGGTCGGAAGCTGAACCCCGTGTTCGTGGACTACCGAAACTTTGAAACCGTGCTCAACGTCGCGTCGCTCGGGAACTTGAACCGGCAGTTCGTGTCGCTGCTTCGCTCGGAGCAAGACGCGGAGCGGCCGATCGTGGGGAACCCGGACGTGTTCGAGACGTTGATGGGCAAAGACGCGAAACTGTTTCGAATGGACGACGCGCTGAAGCAGACGGACGGTGACGGCAACGTCATCGCGATCAAGCGGCGTTCGTTTCCTTTTCTCGCGATGACGTCGTGGACGTGGAACAACTTGGGCGTGATCATCCCCGGGACGAACCTCGTGCTCGAGACGATCGGGACGTATCTATTCGGGAGACGGTTCGCGATCGACGAGAGCTGGCGGTGGATCAGGTTCGGCGCGATGTCGACGCTGTTGGGCGGGATAACCGCGGCGTCGATGCACGCGGGCGCGGAGTTTTCAAAGTGGTGGGGGGAGGTCACCGGCGGCGCCGGGTGGCCGCCGTGGGGTGGGTTCTGACGGGAACGAGACGGGCGTCGAGAATCAGATGGCGCGCTTCTTTCTTTTGTATTTGTACGATTTGTACGATCACGGCCACGACTGACGGCGCGACAGGATGGAAGGATTGACGTCGCGCGCGTCGAGCGCCCAGCCGTCGTGATCGATCGCTACGCTAAGACGACTACTACACGTACAGTACGACTATCGACGGATGACGACTTCTCGCGCGACGAGCACGCGCGCGCGTCACGACACCGCGCAGTTCCCGAACGCCGCGCCCTCGCGTCGCGGCGGCTTGAACCCCCCGAACCCCCGCTTCGGACACCGCGCGAGCGTCCCGATCTTCAGCTTCCTCCACGCCCGCCGCGCCTTCGCACTGTGCATCTCCGCGTCCTCCGTGTTATCCCGGTCCCTCCCTCTGAGCACCGGCCGCGGCCCGACCGGGTGCCCGCCGCCGAGGAGGAAATCGGTGACGTCAAACACGTCCCCGTTCGCGACGAGCCACATCGACGCGTTGTCCCGGTGTCGGTTCACCTGGCAGCACGTGAACGTTCGCGCGGCGGCGACGCGTTCGCGTTCGTCTCTCGCGGTCGCGGCGGTCTCCGAGGCGGCGGCGGCGTCGCGGCGGCCCCAGCCCGCTCTGGTCGCGTCCGCGGCGGCGTCGGCGGCGGCGTCGATCGCTTCGCGGACGCGTCGCCGCCATCCGTCGCCGCCGCCGCCGCCGCCGTTCTCCCCGGCGCCTCCTCCCGCGTCGTCGTCGTCGCCGCCGCCGTCGCCGCTCTCGAGGTCCGCGCGCGCGTTCGCGACCGGTCCGCCGCACGAGGCGCACCCGGGGACGCGGCACCGATCGTCGCACGCGACGCACGCGTCGCATCGACCGCCGCGGCGCGCGTCGCGCCGGTCGGGCGATCCCGCCGCCGTCGCCGCCCCCGCCGCCGCCGCCGCGACGTCGCCGCGGTCGCGGCGCGCGTCGTCGTCAACATTCTTCGCGAGATCCGCCGCTTCCGCGAACGACGACGGCGTCCTCCGCGTTCCCTCCGCCGCGCGGTCGCCGCCTTCGCGCGCGGCGGCGTTCTCGACGCGAGCGCCGCCGTCCTTCGGGCGGAACGACCGCGCCCTCGCCCTCGCGCCGCTGCCCATTGTCGAGACCGTCGCCGCGCGTCGACGGTCTGACGACGCGCCGGCGCCCGAACTGATGAATCGCGGCACGCGTCAGCGTCAGCTGGCGCGTGCCGCGTCATCAAAACATTTCATTTAACAAGCGCGCGAGACGAACGCGGCGACGCGCGCGGGCGGGCGACGCGGCGCGCGATGACGACGCTCGCCGCGCGAACCGCGGCATCCCACCGCGTCGTCGCGCCGTCTCTCTCGCGACGCCGCGAAAGGCGCGCGCGCGGACGCCGCCCCCGCGCGCCCGCGACGACGCGCGCGCTCTTCGGAGGAAAAAACGACGACGACAAAAACGCGTACCCGTCGTCCGTCCGCGCGCCGCTGCCGCTCCCCGAGGCGATCGCGACCGGCCTGCGGTGCGCGTTGGACGGCGCCAAGGTCGCGATCGCGTCCCCCTCGGAGGCGTGGAAACCGCTCACCGCGGCGACGCTGACCGCCGCGCTCGCGCTCGACGGCGCGGGATTCTACGCCGCGTCCGCGTGGCTCGCCCCGGGAGACGACGCGGGCGCGGTGCGCGCGCTCGCGAGCAAGGTGCTCCTCGTCGCCGTGGACGGCGCGTGGGTGTTCGTCGCGCCGCTGATCGCGATCGCGATCGTGCAGCAGGTGCTGCCGCTGCTGGGGGAGAAGATCCTCTTCGACGCGCTGCGAGCGACCGCGGGGATGCCGTCCGCGACTGTCTCGGACGAAGACGACGACGTGGACGACGACGGCGACGCGTCATCATCATCATCATCATCATCGTCGTCGTCGTCCGCCTTCGTCGTCCACCCCGGTCGCCGCGCGCGCGTGGAGCAGCTCGAAGCCTCCCCCGGCCTCGGCATCCGCGGCCTCGGCGTCGCCGCGAGCCGCGCGCAGTCTCTCGCGTCGCTCACCGCGCTCGTCGCGCCGCTCGGCGTCGGCGTCTCGTTCGTCCCCGTCGGCGGGCCGATCGTCGCGACGGCACGTTCTGCCCATACACTGGTCCCCATACGACCGCGTCGGCGTGGTGAACGCCGTTTCTTGAGGACTTTACTTCCCGGCGTGTCTCTCCGCCCAGGGTCCCTCGGTTTCAATCCCCGCCCACGACGCCTTTCAACTCCGCTTCTGACGCCTTTCAACTCCACCCAGGCGCTCACCGCCGCCGTCGCCGCGTACGCGCTCGCGTGGGAGCTCCTCGATCCGTACTTCGACAAGGCGCAGGTCGGGTTCGAGCAGCAGGAGAGGGTGGTGTGGGATAACCGCGCGGCGTTGATATGCTTCGCCGCGCCGTTCGCGGCCGGGTTGGCGATCCCGGTGGTGGGGCCGTTCGGGACGGCGGTGGCGCAGGCGCGTTCTATCTCACACTGGTCCCCATACGACCGCGTTGGCGTGGTGAACGCCGTTTCTTAAGGACTTTTGCCGGCGTCTCTCTCCGCCCACCCCTCGGTTTCAATCCCCGCCATCGACGCCTTTCAACTCCGTCTGACGCCTTTCAACTCCACCCCGACATCGATGCAGGGAGCCGCCGCGGAGCTCGTCTGGCGCGTCCTCGAGAAGGACCCGCCCGCGGCGTCGGGGGAGTGACGTCGTGAGTGATACTATGTCGTCGATAGATATCGTGTGAGTGCGATACTACCATCCTAAGTTCGTCGCGAGCGTAACGCGCGCATCGCGGTCGTCGATCGCGCCCACGCCGCCGCCAGCGCGACGCCCGTCGGGGGCGCGCCCGGTCGCCGCGGCGGCGCGACCGGCGCGACCGGCGGCGCGACCGGCTCGGGCTCGGGCTCGGGCTCGGGGTCCTTCCGCTTCGCGACGCGCGCGGGGGAGGGAGAATCAGGAGGCGACGCGGGGGGCGGGGCGCTCGCGTCGACACCCGAGTCGGCACCCTCCCCGTCGGCACCCTCCCCCCCCGTCCCCGTCCCCGTCCCGACGACGACGTGATCGAAGATATCGCTCACCCCCAGCGTGACCGTCGCGTCCTCTTCGAACGGCGCCGGGACGACGCCCTCCCCGTCCGCTTCCTCCTCCCCGCGCATCGCTCGTCTCGCCGCCGCCGCCGCCGCCAGCGTCAACCCTCGCATCTTCCTCTCCGGCGGGTGCGGCGCGATGGTCGCCGCCAGCCGCACGCCGCCGCCGCCGTCGCCGCCGAAATCCGGCGCAACCGCCTCCACGATCCCCTGGTACGTCTCCGCGGACGGCGCGCCGCCGCCGTCGTCGACGCGGTACAGCAGGACGTCGCCGACGCTCGGGACGACGCCGTCGGATTTGTAGTTACGCGCGTACGGCGGCGCGTGCGACGGGTACGCGGCGGCGTCGTGGACGACGAGCGCGAGGTAGTCGTCGCGCGTCGCCGCCGCGGGCGGCGGCGCGGTCGTCGGCGCGCCGCCGCCGCGCCCGCGGGGGTAGTCCACGACGTGGAACCCGCGCGTCGGCATGCCCGCCATCGCGGAGTCCGATTCGTCGTCGGAATCATCCGAGTCGCTATCGTCCGACGACGAGGAGGAGGAGGAAGACGACGACGACGACGACGACGACGACGACGACGCCGCGCCGCCGCCGCCGCCGCCGCCGAACGTTCGCTTCGCCGCGCCTCCGCCGCTCCTCCTTCGCCGCTCCTCCTCCGCGCGCGCGTCGTCCGCCACCTGAAGCTGCGCGTCGTTCGGGTGCGGGACCCACTGCCGCTCGCTCCACGTCCGCAGCGACCCGCCGTTCCGCACGAGGTCGCCGTTGGGATCCAACGCGCTCGGCGCGGCGTCGATCCTCGCCGTCGCCGTCGTCGTCGTCGTCGTCGTCGTCGTCGCCGTCGTCGCCGTCGCCGTCGTCGTCTTCGCGCCGCTCGCGATCGCCGCGACGCTAGGGATCGGCGTGCCGTACTTCTCGTGCCGCGCCTTCGCGCGCTTCAGCGCCTTTCGTCGCGCGCTCCGGCTCCTCGAGGACGCGGCGCTCTCGTCCCTCTCTCTCTGATGCGCGTCCGCGTCAGCGTCGTCGCCGATCGCGATCCCGTTCCCGCGCTCGACGGACGCGGCCGCGCGAGGGACGCCGTCGCGCGCGACGGCGGGGGCGGCGGCGGCCGCGGCGGGCTCGCTCGCGAACCGCACGCGCTTCACGACGTCCGCGCGATCGTTCGCTTCCCCGACGGCGCCCTTCCTCTTCCACGCCGCGCCGCCAGGCGTCGTCGTCGTCGTCGTCGTCGTCGTCGTCGTCGCGAGGTCGTCGCGATCGCGCGCGTCGCCGCCGCCGCCGTCGCCGCCCGCGCGCGCGACGTGGATCTCGTCCCCGTCCCTCACGACCGCGATCGACGTGTCCGGATCGAGCGCGTACCCGCCCACGCGCAGCCGCACGCGCGCGCCGCCGCACAGCGCGGAGATCTCGTCCGCGAGCGCGCGCACGGTGGCGTCGGCGTCGGTCGCGAGACGAGACGGCACGAGAAACATTCGCCTACGATCCGCGGACGCGTCGATCGCGAGCTCGGGCGCGATGCACAGCCGCACGCGCGGCGAGCCGCCGCCGCCACCGAACGGGGAGAACGGCGAGTGCGGCGCGAGTCCGGGGGAGTGGTGCGACCCGGGGGTGAGCGCCATGGCGAGGCGCGACCCGTCGAGTGGCGCGGGGAAGAGGACGAATCGTGGTACTAGCAGACGCCGGGAGACGCCGCGCCGACCACCGACCGCGGAAGTCAACGAAGAAATTATTGTTTGAACCGCGCGGCTCGTCCCCCACAGCGAAAGGCGCCGAGGGGCGAGCGGCGGCGCGGAGTCGACCCCTGGGCGGATATCGCGTCTCGCGAGGGCGTCGACGGAGGGGCGCGAGCGTCGCGCGCGACGCGGAGGCGACCACGCGTCGACGGAGCGCGCGCGCGGAGGAGCAGCGATAGACCATCTATCGATTCAAAGCCGAGCGGCGACGGGCGCGCATCATCATCTCGTCTTCTGGGACGCCGCGACGCGCGCGTCATGAGCGACCCCCTCAAGGACAACACGAACACTACTAGGGACAAGTACGACGGGAAATGGCACACGGAAGCCGAGCGCGAGCGCGGGCTCGCGGAGCTCGACGACGCGGTGCGAGAGACCTGGCGCGAGCGCGACGCGACGCTCCTCGAGCTCAAGAAGATGCGACAGGCGCGTTCTATACACTGGTCCCCATACGACCCCGTCGGCGTGGTGAACGCCGTTTCTTAAGGACTTTTCCCGGCGGTTCTCTCCGCCCAGGGTCCCTCGCTTTCAATCCCCGCCCACGACGCCTTTCAACTCCATCTGACGCCTTTCAACTCCATCTGACGCCTTTCGACTCCACCCCGACGTTCGCTCGTGTGGAACGACCCTCAGACCGCAGAGGATCGAAATAAAGCGCGCGCGGACGTCGTCCGCGCCGCGCTCGTCGACACCCCCGCGCTCGCGAAGGCGCTCGAGGAGCGCGGCGTCTTGGCGAGCGACGTGGAGCTCGGCGCGCTCGCGTCGCAGATGACGCAAGTGCGGCTGCCCACCATCGACGACGCGTCCGAAGACCCGACGGCGCGCGCGATGGCGCGAGAAAACGTCTCCACTCGAAGAGCGTCCGCGCTGAGGGATTTGTACGCGACGCGGCGCGGCGCGCTCGCGGCGACGATGGGCGAACTCGCGGCGAAGAAGAAGGCGCTGGAGAAGAGGCGAGTGGAGCTGCTGCGAGAGGGCGACCGTCTCTCGGAGCGCGAGCGTTTGCAGAAGAAGTATTGGTACGAAAAGAAGAAGGAGGAGGAGCTGGGGATGTATTGGAAAGACTTCGAGAACGCGTCCGGGTCGTCGTCCGAGGACGGCGAGGAGTCGGAGTCGGAGTCGGAGTCGGAGTCGGAGGAGGACGGCAGCGTCGACGGGAGGGATCCGGACGATTTACTCGCTGACATCAAGCCGTTCCTGCTGCCGCCGCGAGAGGAGGGCGACGGCGACGGCGCGCCGACGCGGACGCGCGAGGAGCTCACCGAACAATTGAAGCGCGAGCTCGCGGGCGGGAAGGCGGCGACGAAGATGCGGCTGCTGCAGATGAAGATCGCGCACGCGAAGGTGGCGGCGCAGAGCAAGTACGCGAAGCGAAGCGTCGCGGCGGATCCGCTCGCGCCAAAGCCGAGTAAAAAAGAATTGCGAGCGATGCGCGCGCACACGCCGTTGGATGCCAACTACGCGGGAAAGACGGTCTTCCGGTTTTGCCGCGAGCTCGTGGAGTCGATCGCGATGGGCGCCGCGCACGCGTGCGCGACGCGCCCCACGGAGCGCTCCGTCGCGATGGAGCGGAAGCTCTGGAGGAAGAAGGAGCCGCTGGTGATTCAAACGATTTGCCGACAGCTGGCGGACACGCTGACGTTGGAGGTGACGAGAGAGGAAGCGTTCGGGGTCGCGTACGAGATCGAGGCTGTGCACGCGATGAGCGCGGGGATGGTCGTGAAAGCGATCGCGTCCGGGGTGATTCATCGGTTGCGCGGGGAGCAAGAGGCGCTCGAGAAGGGCGGCGCGAAGGTTGTTCGAAAGAAGCGGAGGAAGAAGAAGAGGGGGTTCTTCGCTCGCGTCTTCGGCGACTCGGTCGATACGGCGGAGCGCAAGTACGCGGAGATTCAGCGACGCGTCGCGGAGTCGAGCAGACAGTCGGAGCTCGATAAGGTGGCCGCGTTCGAGGGCTACGGCGGCGAAGAAGAGGAGGGGTTGACGTCGTCTTCGGACGAGGAAGAAGGCTCGTTCATGCACGAGACGCAAACGGAGCGAAGGGCGATGGCGTCCGTGCTCACGGAGATGCAACGCCGCCGCCCTCCCGGATACATCTACCGCCACACGCAGCCGCTTCGGGACGTGTCGCCGCCGCGCGAGCCACAGCCGGTGCGCGTCCAGCGCGAGAGCGACAGCGACGACAGCACGAGCAGCGACGGGAGCTCCTCGGAGGAGGACGTGGAACGAGTCGAAGACGAGGTGCGTTCTATACACTGGTTCCCATACGACCGCGTCGGCGTGGTGAACGCCGATCCTTAAGGACTTTTGCCGGCGTGTCTCTCCGCCCACCCCCCGCTTTCAATCCCCGCCATCGACGCCTTTCAACTTCAACTGACGCCTTTGAACTCCACCCCGACATTCACTCGTATGGAACGACCCTGAGGCGTCGCTGCGAGAACTCGCCGCGGCGGACGCGGAGCAAGCCGCGCGCCGTCAGCCGCCCCCGCGGAGCGGCATCGCGCGCCTCGGCACCCTCGTCGAGCCGCCGCCGCCGTCGATGACGCACAGAAACGCGTCGACGCGCGAGCGCGCGTATTGGAACGACGTCGCGCTCGAAGAGTGGTACGGCGGCGGCGCGTTGGCGGTGAAGAAGGGCCACGTCACCGCCGTCGCCGCGTCGCCGGGGCACGCGCTGTCCGTCGCGGCGGGGAGCAGCACTGGGAACATCACGGTGTGGCGGTTCGGGGGACCGAACGACGGGATCAGCGCGTGGGAGGCGAGCAGTGGGAGCGAGTCCGAGGATGAGTTTGGGAACAAGATTAAGCGGACCAAGGAGGAACGCGGACGGGCGAGAAACGAACGCGCGCGGATCAAGATGCTCATCAAGATGGGGAAGCTCGATCAGGTGCGTTCTACGTGTATACAAACGTTTTTCACCCACCGCTCGGTTTCAACACTTGATCGCGTCCCCTTTCAACTGACCGATGAACATTTTTTGTATGGAACGACCCTCATCAGGCCACCGTGGACGAGGAGAAGAGGAAGGCGCTCGAGAAGAAGATGCTCCAGCGGAAGAAGAACGAGGAAAAGAATAAGAAGAAGACCGCCGCGAGTGCTAACAAGTTCCTCGTGAAGACCGACGACGCGAACTCGAAGAAGTCGACGTCGTTGAAGTTTGAGGGCGCCGCGGCGGAGCAAAAAGTCGTCGGTCACGTCGTACAGCCCGTCGTCACCGGCGCGGCGAAGTGCCGCCCGCTCGCGGACGCGGAGGTGATCGAGGAGATGACCGCGGCGAACGCGAGCGAGCCGGCGTTGATCGCGACCGCGATCGTCGGCCTCGCGTGGAGCGCGGACGCGAGCCAGCTGTGCACGGCGGAAAGAGGCGGGTGCTCGCGGATGTGGACGGTGGCGGACCGAGGGAAGGAGACGACGCGGGGACGAGCGGCGCCGCTCGCGGAGTCGCTCGCGCTCGCGCCCGCGAACCACGTCTCGTCGTCGCCTCTTCCGGAGACGGAGATCGTGAAGGGCAGCTCGAGCAGCGAGTCCGAGGAGGACAAGAGGGATTCGAGGGGGAAGAAGAAGAAGAAGAAGAAGGTGGTGGTTGTCACGGAGAAAGCCGTCATCGAAAAGGCGAAAAAGGCGAAAGAGGCGCTCGACGCCGCGGCGGCGCGCGCGGAAGCGCGCGACCGCTGGCGCCCGGACGCGAAGATTCTCACGACGTTCTTCCCAGCGTTCACGATGGCGGGACGACAGCCGTACGCGCTCTTCGCGCGGCCGAACGGAGACATCGTGAGGGCGTCGCCGAGCGCGACGCCCGCGGCGATCTCCGCGGTGGCGCCGGTTGATAAATCGCACGGAAAGTCGGCGCGCGACATTTTTAACTTCCGCGGGCAAAAAGCCTGGAGCGGCGGGAACCCGTTCGGCAGACACTTGACTTACATGAAGAAGAGCCGCTCGCACGGGGTTCCCGGGTACGGCGAGACGAGCTCGGACGAGTCCGACGACTCGGACGAAGAGGCGAGACGGTTCATCGAAGGCGACGACGACGACGAGATCGACGAGAATAAGCTCGAGAACGCCTTCAACGAGACGAACGAGGACGACACGTTCGCGGAGACGCTCGGGATGGAGACCGTGCTCTCCGTCGCGGAGAACTACGCCGCGGGCGCGGGCTCGTTCATGGCGAAGGTGGAAAAGAAACGTTTGTTGGCGCCGTTGAAGCCGCCGCAGTACCCTGGGGAACTCGGCGTCGAGGCTATGAAAAAAGCGAAAGAAGCCGGGTTAACCGAGCCACCGGAGGCGTACACGCAGGACCTGTACCGCGGGCACCAGTCCCCGGTCGTGTACCTGAGCACCCTGCCGGACTCGCAGGCGATGCTCTCGATCGACGTCGACGGCGTCGTGTGTCTGTGGTCCGCGTTTCAAGGCGGCCACGCGCGAAGCGGGTTTGGGTGGTATTCGCCGCTCGGGCAGTGGCGGCTCCCGACGGAAGTCACCGCGCACGTCCCGTCGACGATGCGCGTGCAGTGCTACCCCGGCGGCGAGCGCGGCGGGTACGACGACGGCGGACGAGACGTGTACGACACGCACACGGCGTGGATGACGTCGTACGAGAAGGGCCGCGGCGCGCGGAACGTGATCGAAGTGCCGAAGATGACGGATTGGATGGAAGCGGACCTTCAGGCGGAGGAAGCCGCGGAGTATCGCGGCGGTCTGGGGGATCGAGCCTCCGAGGACGGGTCCATCGGCGCGGACAGCGGGGACATCGACAAGGCGGCGGATAGCGCCGCGGGGAGCGACAGCGACGAGGACGGCGGCGGCGGCGGCGGCAAGAAGGAAGCGCGCGCCAAACGCGCCGACGGGAGCGGGAAGGCGAAGGATCGCGAGACGCGGGAGTACTTCGTGAGCACGTACGACGATAAGGGCGTGTTGCAGACGCGGTACCGGCAGCACCACGTCACGCGGAGGGCGGTCGCGCCCGTCGTCGGCGCGTGCATCGCGACGGACGGCGGCATCCCCGACCTCGTCGTGATTCGGAGAGTGAGCGGCTTGCCGGCGGCGGCGCTACGCGCGGGTGGGATCAACGCCGCGAAGAGCTCCATCCCGTACTTCACCGCGCACTGCTACTCCCTGGACACGATGAAGCCCACTGTCCCGCGGATGGATCTCCCGAACCCGTTCGTGCCGCCGCGAGGTAAGGGCCCGGACGCCGCGGGCGCGGCGGCGGCGCGGCGAACGAATCGCCGGGCGACGCTGGAAGAGGCGAAGGAAGCGGCGAAAGGGTGGCACGACGTCGCGCCGTACCCGTTCGCGCTCGCGGCCGCGACGCCGGTCCTGGGGAGCGAGCACCTCGTCGTCCCGATCGGGATCACGCACATCGGAATATTTTCCTTCGCGACCGGGTTCATGGTGCGGGATTTCGACCTCCCCGGAGTGCCCAACGGCGAGCGCATCGCGATCATGACGATGATGAACAATCCCAACCCCGGCGGCGGGACCGGCGGGTCCCGGCAGGCCACGAGCGCGTCCACGAAAGGCCCTCCCCCGACGATGGTGCGGCAGCTTCTCGCGGTCGCGACGGCCGGGAGCGTCACCGCGGGGAAGCAAGTGCGGATCTACGCCATCGACGAGGGCGCCGCGCAGGTGATTCGCGTCGCCGCGTTGAAGAACGAAGTCACGCGGTCGCTGGGCGGGTACGAGCTCAGGGAGCTCCCGGAGCTCCCGTCGTCGGAGTCGTCGGAGAGCGAGCGGGAGGAGGATGAGGAGAACGCGGGGGGGGAGGAGGAGAGCGAGGAGGAGGTGGTGAAGACGCGAGCGTCGGACAAGGATATAAGAGACGGGGTGTACGACATTTTGTGGCGCGACGGCGTCGACGCGGTGTCCCTGAAGAAGATTCGCGAGGAGCTGGAACTGAAGTACGAGCCGCTGACGGAGCGCAAGGCGACGATCAAGCTGTACGTGGACGCGTTCGTCAGGAAGCCGCCGCCGAAACCGAGGCAGAAGATCGTCTTGCCGCCTCCGGGGACGCACAAGATTGGGCGGAGAAAATCGAGCAAAAAAGCCCCAGCCCCCGCCGCCGAGAAGGCGCCGGCGGCGAAGCGAGCGGGGGTTCAGCGAGCGCTGACGGAGAAAGAGAAAAAGATGCCGTCGGACTTTGAGATCAAGCTCGGGGTGACGGAGATCTTAGAGAAGAGCGAGCAGGAGTCGGTGTCCATGAGGAAGATTCGCGAGCAGCTCGAGGCGCGGTACCAGACCTCCCTGGCGGATAAAAAGGCGGTGATGAAAGCCGCCGTGGACGCGTACTACGACTGACTGATGACACACAGCGTGCACGTGCACGCGTAGTCTAGTGGAGAGCGCGGACGCGAAAAGAATAGAGCGCGCGTCATTCTGCTGCTCTTCTTCGTTTCGATACTACATGTAGCTATAGATCTACGTCGTGCAGTACAGTACTACTACACTTCGTAGATGTCGCACTGGTCCCCATACGACCGCGTCGGCGTGGTGAAAGCCGTTCCTTAAGGACTTTCTCCCAAGAGCGGCGCCCACTTCTCGACGACGCCCGGCGATCCGTACCACGGCGCGTCGTCCTCGCCGCCGGGCTGATGCGCGACGCCGTCCAGCACGAGCGTCTCGGATCCGTCGAGCAACGCGCGCGCGATGGGCGTCACTCCGTCCCCGTCCACTCCCCGCGGGGACGACCCCGTCGACGCCTCGTAACTCACCCCGGCGAACATCGATCGCAGCGCATCCTTTTTCGCACCCCCGGCTCCTCCGCGGAGGAGCGCGAGGAGGTCAAAGTCCGCGCCAATCTCCCCGGCGCCGCACACGGAGACGTACCGAACGCCGCGTTCGAACGCGCCGGGGTAGCGAAAGTTTGTCAACGCGAGCGTGCTGCCGCGCGCGCGCTCAGGCGTCCACGTGTCATCCGCGCGCGCGTCGTCCGCGTCAGCGTCGGCGAGATCTTCGTCGAGCCCGTCGCCGGCTCTTCGCTCCTCGATCCTCCCGAACGGGTACGCCTCCAGCGAGTAGTGCGGCGTCCCGAGCGTCAAGAGAACGTCGCATCGATCGACGCCGCGGTACCGTTTGCCGCCCGAGTACGGCGCGCGTCCGAGCCATGTCCGCGCGAGCCACCCGCCGGCGCTGTGCCCGACGATCGCGATCTTCCGGGCCTTAGAGCGCGACAGCAGCTCGTCCGCCGCGCCGTCCACCTTGTCCAGAATGCCGCGGAAGTCCCCGCCCAGAAGCGTCGGGACCCAGTCCGCGATAGTCACGGGCGCGATCGCGATCGGGCCCAACCCGAGCGTCGACGACTCGAGGAGACGTCTCATCTCTTCGTACTTTTGGAATCCGCTGAGGAAACCGGGGATGATGAGCGCGGGCTTCTTCTCGCGCGTCTCCGGGTCCCTCCGAGCGTCGCGACCGGCCGCGCGCGACGGCGGCGACGCGCGCGGCCGGCGTCGCGGACGCCGAGATCGAACCGCCGCCGTCGTCGCCGCCGCCGCCGCCGCCGTCGCCATGGATTCGCGCGCGCGTCGACCGATCGATCGCTCGATCGAGACCCGCCGCGCCGCCGCAATTAATTATTTCTCAACTCCTCCGAGACCGCCGCCCGCCGCTCTCTCTCTACGCGCGCGCCGCCAGGTCCCGCGCGCCTCGCCTCGCCTCGCCCCGCCGCCGCCGCTCAGAGCTCCGGGATCGGCTTCTGCGTCGGGAGGAGCCCGAACCGCTTCTTGCACGCGACGCGCTGCTTCGAGAACTTGTCGTCGGGTGAGAATCGCGCGGGATGCGCGCTCTGCGTCGGCGTTCCGTCCGGGGCGACCTTCTTCAAGGTGTACACGCGGATCCCCTTCTCGTCGAGGTAATACATGAGATACATGACGTCGTCTCTTCGCGCGACGATCGAGCGGCGACGAAGGAGGAGCGTTCGGACGCGGGCGTGAGCGAGGGCCGTTCGCGCGCGCGGAAGTGAACGCCGCGGCGCCGTCGCCGCGAACCCTCTCTTCGAAGAAATTCGATCAGGCAGGGTTCCGCCTGCGAGCCGGTCGAAATTGGCCAATTCCGAGCATCGGTCATTTGAAAGCAGACACGATCAAATGTTGAAACCTAAGTTAACTTATGAATGGGTGAAAAACGAGCGATTTGACCGCAATCGCCGTTCGCGTTCGGTCGGACGAGGGCGAGCGCGAGGGCGCGGGCTGAGATGATCGATCGTCGCTCGGCAGTTCCACGCGCGCGGACGGCGACGACACGCGGCGCGCGCCGATCACGATGGGGTTCTTCGACTGGTTCTACGACATCCTCGCCAACCTCGGGCTGTGGCAGAAGAACGCGAAGATCCTCTTCCTGGCGCGTCCCCGTCGCGCGCGCGTCGATCCGCCCCGCGCGTCCCCCGCGTCGACCCCGTCGCCGAAAGAAGATTCCACCCTCGCCCCGTTCAAACGAACCTTCCTCGATCTGACCGTCGCCCGCCCCCGCGCGCGTCCGTCGCAGGGCCTGGATAACGCCGGGAAGACGACGCTGATGCACATGCTCAAGGACGAGCGTCTCGCGCAGCATCAACCGACGCAGTATCCCACCTCAGAGGTCCGTCCCGGCGCGCGATCGGACGGAAGATCCGTCGTCGTCGGTCGATCTTCGCGCTCGCCGCGCCTTTCAACGTGCCGTCGTCGTCTCGTTCGGGCGTCCGCGCGCGTCGTCTCGCCGTCGTCCGCGGCGCGCGTGGATCGCGCGATCGACCCTCGGCGACCGGCCGGCGTCGTCGATCGCGCTCGCGTGCGTCCGCGCGCGATCGTCCCGCGCGATCGGACGCGCGCCGCGTCGTCGCGCGAGCGAAGATCTCCGTCCGTCTTCTCGTTTTTTTTTCGCGCGTCGCGTCGCATTGTTCGGCTGGCGTCGACGTTCCTTCGACCAACGACTGACCGACCCGACGCCTCTCTACGCCTCTCGCCGCCCGTTCCCGCCCGCAGGAGCTCTCGATCGGGCAGATCAAGTTCAAGGCGTTCGATCTCGGCGGGCACGAGGTGGCGCGCAGGGTGTGGAAGGACTACTACGCGAAGGTCGACGCCATCGTCTTCCTCGTCGACGCCGTGGACAAGGAGCGATACCTCGAGTCGAAGAAAGAGCTCGACTCGCTCCTGAGCGACGACTCGCTGGGGTCCGTGCCGTTTCTGATCTTAGGGAACAAGATCGACATCCCGCACGCGAGCAGCGAGGAGGAGCTGCGTCACTGCCTCGGCTTGACGAATTACACCACGGGGAAGGGGAAGGTGCGTTCTCCTCACACTGGTTCCCATACGACCCCGTTCGCGTGGTGAACGCCGATCCTTAAGGACTTCGCCCGTCGTTTCTCTCCGCTCACCCCCCGCTTTCAATCCCCGCCCTCGACGCCTTTCAACTCCATCTGACGCCTTTCAACTCCACCCCGACGTCCGACGCTCGTCGCGAAGGTAAACCTGGAGGCGACGAACATGCGTCCGATCGAGGTGTTCATGTGCTCCGTCGTGCGTCGGATGGGATACGGCGAAGGGTTCCGGTGGTTATCGCAGTACATCAAGTGAGTTGCGGCGGCGGCGGAGACGACGAGTTGAGTTGAGTTGTGTGCACGCGCGGACGGAGGAGACGGGCGCGGCTCGCGGGGCGGGTCGACATTTTTTTCGGAAAGGAAGCGAAAGGCGAGCGGGCGACGACGAGCGAGCGAGCGACGCGCGTCGACCGACATCGAATCGAATCGATACAAAACAATCAATCATCACAAATCTCTCTTCACTCCTCTCCTCCCTCTTCGCCGCCGGCCGAAACTCCCTTCTTTCCGTCGTCGTCGTCTCTCCGCGCGCGCTCACAACGACTGCGTGTACTTCCCGTCCTTCTTGTCGAATCCGATCGTCGGGAACTGCGCGGCGAACGCCTCAACCTCCGACTTCAGGGCGTCGATCTCCGGAAACTTCCCCGGAGGCGCGTCCGCGAGCGCTACGCGGAAATCCTTCAACTTCGGCCCGTGCACCTCCTTCAGCTTCTTCGTGATCTCGATCCCTTTCCAGACCATGTCCGCGACGCGTTCGAAATCCGCCTCCACGAACCCGCGCGTCGTCAACGCGGGGGTGCCGAGCCGCAAGCCGCCGGGGACCATCGCGCTCTTATCTCCGGGGACGGTGTTTTTGTTGCACGCGATGTGCGCGAGCTCGAGGACGCGCTCCACGCGCGAGCCGTCGACGCCCAGCGGGCGAAGATCCGCGAGGACGAGATGGTTATCCGTGCCCCCGGAGACGAGCTCGACGCCGTGCTTCTTGAGGCGGTCGCTCATCGCGACCATGTTCTTCATGACCTGGTTCTGGTACTTTTTGAAATCCGGGGACATCGCCTGCTTCAGCGCGACGGCGAGGCCGGCGATCGTGTGGTTGTGCGGGCCGCCCTGTAAACCCGGGAAGACGGAAAAGTTGATCTTTTCCTCGAGGTCGTACATGATCGGGTTGCCCTTCTTGTCGACGCCCTTCTGACCTTTACGGTAAAAGATCATCGCGCCGCGGGGGCCGCGGAGCGACTTGTGCGTCGTCGTCGTCACGACGTCCGCGTGATCGAACGGGCTCGGGATCATCTGCGCGGCGACCAAGCCGGAGATGTGCGCCATGTCCGCGAGCAAAAACGCGCCCACCTTGTCCGCGATGGCGCGCATCTTCGGGTAGTCGTACAGGCGCGAATACGCGGACGCGCCGGCGACGATGAGCTTCGGTCGGAACGCGGTCGCGAGCTTGTCGCACGACTCGTAATCGATGAGCCCGGTGGACTCGTCCAGGCGGTACGGCATCGACTCGAAAAAGATGCTCACCGCGCTGATCTTCTTCGTGTCCGTCTGTAGAAGGAGGGCGATGCGTCGGTCATCAGTTGAAAGGGAACGCGATCAAACGTTGAAACCACCGAGGGACGCGGGCGCGAGACGGCGCGACGCGACGCGCCTGGAAGCCGTGCGAGAGGTGCCCGCCGTGGGGCAAGTCCAGACCCATGATGCGATCGTGCGGTTTGAGCAGCCCGGTGTAGACCTGGAAGTTCGCGGGCGAGCCCGACAGCGACTGCACGTTGACGCCCCACTTCTCCGGGTCGAGATGAAACGCCGCGAGCGCGCGTTGTTGACAGAGCGTCTCGCACTGCGGGTCGACAGTCGTCGGGGTGGGCGGCGTTCGTTGATTGAAGGCGCGTCAGAAGCGGAGTCGAAAGGCGTCGACATAGCGTGTCGGGATTGATGAAACCGAGGGGTGGGCGGAGAGATGCGCCGGGAGAGAAAGTCCTCAAGGAATGAAGTTCACAACGCCGACGCGGTCGTACGGGGACCAGTCAGTGCGACTCCTCGAACGCGCCTGATCGATGAACTCGTTCCCGCCGTAGTACCTCGCGCCCGGATACCCCTCGCTGTACTTGTTCGTCATCACGCTCCCGAGCGCGTCCATGACGGACCGCGACGTGAAGTTCTCGGACGGGATCAGCTCCAAGCCTTTCCACTGCCGGCTTTTCTCCTTTTCGACGATCTCGTTCACCTCGGGGTCCATCTCCGCGAGCGACTTGTTGCACGCCTCTGGCCACGTCACGTGCGCCTTGTCGCCGACGAACTTCTTGTACTCGTCCGCGTTGGAGCTCTGCGATGGATCGGGTTTTGGGGCGCGGGAGGGGGAGGGGCGAGTGAGTTGGGGTGACGCGCGTCGGGGGTCGATCGGATCGCCGCGAGGGAGGCGCGCGACGGGGCGGATCGGTCGATCGACGACTTTCGTCCGTTTGAGACGCGGTGACGAGGCGATGGATGTCAAAAAATAAGATGGACGCGCCGCGCGCGATTGGACGCGCGCGGGCGGGGAACGCACGGCCATGAAGCGGACGGACGCGACGCGGCCGGCATCGCGGAAGATCGCGGAGGAGCGGCGGAGCGTGGACGCGAGCATCTCGTGCGGCGGGGTGGGTTCGCGCGCCGGGGTCGACTGCCGCGCGTCGTGGTCGTCGACGCGGGGGAAAACCTCGAAATAATCGCCAACTCGGATGAGGTTGCCGAGCGCGCCTGGCGAGGTGGGCGTTTGAAAATACCCTTTCAAAATTTTTGATCGGAAAATCCCCGATCGCTTTGATCGGGTCTATATCGGCAGATCTGCCGATACATGCGGGTGAAAAACCGCATATTGGTCTGCGTAGAAGGACGAACCGACGAAAAAAAACCGTTCAGTCTACTGGACGCCGCCCGCCTGTTCAACGACGACGCCTTCTAGGAATCTAACGCGGCTACTACCGCGCTCACGCGATGCGCGCGAGGACCAAGTCGCGATTCGGGCTGTCCTCGAACACCGACTCCACGAACGCGCGCACCTCGCGCGCCTCGAACCCGACCGCGGCGAGCCGGCCGGCTTCCCACTGCAGGTCGAATGTCGGGGCGGAGTCGGAAGGCGTCAGGGGTGGAGTTGAAAGGCGTCGAGGTGCGTCGGGATTGAGGGGGGCGGGGGGAGAGATGCGCCGGGAGAGAAAGTTCTTAAGGATCGGCGTTCACCACGCCAACGCGGTCGTATGGGGACCAGTGTGAATAGGACGCGCCTGACTCGCGATCTTCACCATCTTCGCGTCGAGCATCTTCACGAGCGCGAGGCCCTTCCCCCACCTCGAGCGCAGGGGGAGGGACTCCACGAGCGCGATCGCCACCGCGTCCGCGTCCGCGACGCGGGATTCTTTGGTTTTCCCGCCGTCCCCGTCCCCGTCCCCGTCCCCGTCCCCGTCCCCGGACGCGTCGGCGGGGAGCACGAGCCCGCGCGGTTGAAACGCGACCTCCGCCAGAGCGTCCCTCAGCGCGCTCGAGTCCTCCGCGGAGATGTCCTTCAGGGCGAACACGTCGTCCACGACGCGCCGCGCGTACCCCTCGAGGAGACCGCGTGCGACGTTCTCGCCGAGAGGGGAAGGTAACGCTCGGACGAGGGGCGTTACTACGCGCGCGAGGAAATGCCGGGCGCGGCGTAACGCGCGCGTCGCGCGCGCCGCGCCGTCGTCCTTCACTCTGTTGAACCCGCGCGCGTCGTCGAGTATCCGGTCGATCTCGCGCCCGCACCGCGTCGCGAGCATCGCGAGCGCGGCGTCGCCGGCGGCGAGGAGGGGAGGGACGACGCCGACGGGCAGCGGCGGCGGCGTTTGCGTTTGCGTGTGGTCGGTCGGGGTCCCGGTCGGGGTCTCGCCGCCGGCGCCGGCGCCGCCGCCGCCGCGCGCGAACGCCGCCGCCAGCCACGCGGCGGCGAGGTAATGCGCGTCGTTCCGAAAGACGACCGTCGCTTCCGGGCCACCGCGGACGATACCCGCTACCCCGTGCTCGTCCCCGATCTCCTCCGCGTCGTCTTCCTCGTCTTCCTCGCCGCCCAGCGCGCCGCCGCGGAGCGCGGGTACGAGCGCGCGGTAGAGATCGAGCGCGTCCGCGGCTGCCGTCGCGAGCTCGTTCGCGCGGCGCCTCGACGACGACGACGTGGCGGCTCCTGATTCGCCCGTATTCGCGGCGTATTCGCGTCCCGATTCGTCCACGAGGTCCGCGACGTGCGACGCGAGCGCGACCGCGGTGGCGCTCACGACGCACGAGGGCGGGGACAGCGCCCCGAGGCGGCTCGACGCCTCGTCCGTCGGCGTCGTCGTCGTCGTCGTCGCGCGCGTCTTCTCGCCCTCGAGCAAAAGCTCCCTCGCTCGCGCGAGCGCGCGCGTCCGCGCCGAGCCCGCGTCCGCGCCCTCGCGCTCTAGCGCAGCCTGCTCGATCGGACCGAACGCGATGCCGTCGTCGGTCGCGTTCGCGCACGCGAGCGATGAAGAAGGCGTCCCGGGTTTACCTTTTTCGTTTTCGTTTTCGTTTTCGTTTTCGTCGTCGTCGTCGTCGTCGTCGTCGCCGCCGACGCCGCCGCCGCCGCCGGGGCCCGCGACGGCGAGGAACGTCGCCTCCGCGGCGCACAGCGCGTCCACAGCGTCTTCGCTCAGCTGCGCGTCGTCGCCGACGAACCACGCGGCGATCACGGCGGAGGACACGGCGCCCCACGCGCGAGCGCAAATCTTTCCCCGCGCACGCGCCGACGCGACGCTTCTCCCGAGGAACGACGCCGCCGTCTCCATCGCGGCCGCGAGCGCGATCGCGCGCGAGGACGCCGACGGTTCCGCCACGTCACTCTTCCACGTCATCGAATCTTCGCTGACGTGGAGAGACACAGACCGCGGATCGTCCTCGCGCGTCGACGCGGCGCACCCGAACGCGAGAAACGCCGCCAACGGCGCGACGACGTCGCGCTCCAACGCGCTCGCCACCGCCTCGCGGCCGTCCCGACGCCGCGCTTCTTTCGAATTCGAACAACACGAACCCGCGCTCCTCGCGAGAAAGCCGTCCACGCCCGCCCACACCGCGGTCGCCGCGTCGACGTCGAACGCCGCCACCGCGCGGTCCTCGCCCTCCGGCGTCGACGTCGCCGTCGCCGCCGCGAGCGCCGCGAGCGCCGCGGAAACCGCCGCGTCGAAAGCCGCCGCGACGTCGCCGCGCGCCGCGGCCATCAGACGCGCGTCGTCCCCCTCCTCCATATCGTCCTCCATCTCGTCCAGCGCGTCGTCCGCGTCGCGAACGCCGTGCGTCGCGCGCGCGAAGTCGCGCGCGTCGACGGCGCGGAGGACGTCCGCGACGCGCGTTTGGACGGAGGCAAACGCGCGGCGTCGCTCGAGACGTTTTCGTCGCTCGCGCGCCGTCGCGGCGGCGTCGCGCGTCGCGGAAGCGGCGACGGCCACCTCCCTCTCCGCCTCCAGCGCGACGTCGCGATCGCTCCACTCGTCCCGAGGTGGGCGAACGTGCGCGAGCGCGGAGGACGCGGCGGGCGCGAGCTCCGCGAGCGCGCGCGTCGCCTTGGCCTCGTCCGACGCGACGTCGTCGTCGTCGTCCGCGGCGTTGGAATCGGATGCGAGGATGAGGGGCGTTCTATACGAGCGAATGGCGGGGTGGAGTTCAAAGGCGTCAGATGGAGTTGAAAGGCGTCGAGGGCGGGGATTGAAAGCGACGGGTGGGCGGAGAGAGACCCCGGGAAAAGTCCTTAAGGATCGGCGTTCACCTCGCGAACGCGGTCGTATGGGGACCAGTGTATAGAACGCGCCTCATGATGCGCGCGGACGCGACGAGCAGATCGCGTCGGACCCTGACGGCGTCGGACTCGAGCCGATCGACCGCGTGCTGCAGCGCGTCGATGCTGTCCTCCGCGCCCTCGGGGACCTGCGAGGGAGGGAGGGAGGGAGTGGGGGAGAGGGCGTCGGAGGACGCGCGGGACGGGACGGGACGGACGGACGGACGGACGGCTTCGGGGTCCCTCGGGCGCGGTCGCGTCGGATCCTCGAAGGATCGATCTGGCGCGGCGGACGCACCACGGTCGCGAGGATGTCGCGTCGCATCCGCGCGCGGCGCGACGCCACCGCGGTCATCGACGCGACCGCCGCCGACCGATACCGCGTCGCGACCGGCGCGGCGCGTCGTGTGACGCGTCGGTCGAGCGGACGACGACGGGAACGCGCTCGTCAGAGTTTTTTTGTCTGCCGAGTCGTCGCGGCGAAGAGTCATGAATTCATAATCGAAGTTGTTAACACGGGACGGTAAGCTTAATAACACTCCAGCAGTCGCCTCCGCCTCGAATCATCCCGTGATCATCGTCCCCGCGCCCTCGTCCGTGAGAATCTCCAACAGCAACGAGTGCGGCGCCCTCCCGTCGATGATGTGCGCGCTCTTCACCCCCTGCGCGATGCTCTTCACGCAGCACTCCACCTTCGGGATCATTCCGCCGGCGATGACGTCTGCGACGCGATGGATGATGACACGCGGCGGGACGCGATTGGTCAGTCCGATATCGGATTCGATGACATGTACGATCGCGCGGCTCAAAAGAAACAACAACACAAACAACAGAACGCGCGAACCAATAAAAAAAGGAAGGACACGCAGGACACGCGCGCGCACCGTCCGCGACGAGATCCCGCGTCTCGCTGATGGTCAGCTCTCGCAACAAACTCCCCGGGTCGTCCTTGTCCGTGCACACCCCGGGGACGTCCGTCATGAGGATGAGCTTCGCCGCGCCGAGCGACGCGGCGAGCTCGCCCGCGGCGGTGTCCGCGTTGACGTTGAGCGCTTGCCCGGACGCGTCCATCGCGACCGTCGCGACGACTGGGATCGCGCCCGAGTCCAACAAGCCGCGCAACACGCTCACGTCCACGCTCGTGACGTCGCCGACGAACCCGAGCTCCGGGTCGCGGACGCGGCCGCGGAGGGTGTTGCCGTCCTTCCCGCAGATCCCCACGGCCCTGCCTCCCGCGACGTTGATGAGCGACACGAGCGATTTGTTCACCTTGCCGACTGACGACGATTACGGTTCAGGTTCGGTCCAAGTTCCGCGCGAAGCGAAGCGATTCGATTTCGGGGCGGCGGCGGGAGTTCGGGCGCGCGTCAGTCTGAGTCGCGAGGCACCGCGGCGCGCGCATCGGGATTGATGAAACCGTCGGGTGGGTGGGCGGAGAGGAACGAACGCCGGGAGAGAAAGTCCTTAAGGAATGAAGTTCACAACGCGAACGCGGTCGTACGGGAACCAGTGTGAGTGAGGAAGGATGAAAACGCGCCTAAGACCATCTCGACGATCTCCATCGTCGCCGCGTCCGTGACGCGCAGGCCGTTCAGAAACTTCGCCTCGATCCCAACCTTGTTCAGCCACTGGTTGATCTCCGGCCCGCCGCCGTGGACGAGCACGGGGCGGATGCCCACGGTGGAGAGCAGGACGAGGTCGCGTATGACGCGATCTTTTAGCGACTCGTCCTTCATCGCGGCGCCTCCGTACTTCACGACGACGGTCTCGCCCGCGAAGCGCTGCAGGTACGGCAACGCCTCCGCGAGGACGGAGACTCTCTGGAAGTTGTCGATCTGCGCCTGCATCGCCTTGGCGTCGACGGTGCGGTTGGTTTCGGTCTCCGCGGCGGACGCGTCGATTTCGGCCGCGGCGTCGCGTCGGACGCGACGGCGAGGCGCGGGATGATGCGCGCACTGATTCATCTTCGTCTTCGCCGGGCGTGCGGCGATCGCGGCGCCGCGCGCGGGGGTCGCGACGCGGACGCGCGCGGGGGCGGCGACGGACGCGCGGAGCGGCGCCTTCGCGCTCGCGGCCATCTTCGGTGGAGTCTCGAGAGGGGAGGGCGCGGCGGAGGGGCCGAGGCGAGCGCTCTCGCCGTGGGGTGCGCGCGTCGGGTGTGCGGCGGGGTCGGAGGAGGGTCGCGATGAGTTTCGTCGTGGCGCTGGCGGGAGCGCGCGACGCGACGCGAAAGACGATGGACGATGGACGGTCGGCAGTCGATCGCGCGCGCGGAGGGGCCGCGCGATCGCGACGCCGTCTCGTCCGGTCCGCGCCGGCCGCCGGGCGGCGCGACGGCCGCGTCATGCCCCCGAAGCGAGCCCCCGCGCGCGGGGGAGGAGGCCGCGGCGGCGCGCGCGGTGGGCGACGCGCGACGACGACGACGACGACGACGACGACGACGACGACGAAGTCCTTAAGGAACGGCGTTCACCACGCGAACGCGGTCGTATGGGAACCAGTCACGACGACGACGACGACGCGACGACGCGACGAGATGATGCCGACCCCTCCGCGCGTCGCGCCGCTGACGGGCGAGGCCGGGACGCTCCTCGGCGAGGCCGCGGACAACGTGAACCGTCTGCTGGATAAGCGCGCGGGGAGGAAGGCGGCGGCGGCGGCGGCGGCGGCGGCGCCGGGTCGCGGCGCGCGCGGCGCGCGCGACGCGATCGCGGTCGCCGAGCCGTCGTCGTCGTTCGTCGTCCGACCTCGCGAGCGCGGCGCGGCGGGCGCGGGCTCGGCCGCGAACAAGGCTGCGGCGACGGCGCACAACGCCCTCGTCCTCGCGCGCGCGTCCATGGCGAGCGACCGCGGTCGGATGCGCGCGGCGGACGCCGCGGACGCGGACGCGGACGCGGACGCCGAGAGGCTGCTGCTCGGGGCGTGGACCGCGCCGGCGTCAAATCGACGCGCCGCCGCCGCCGGCGTCTGCGGCGCGCGGGCGACGACGACGGGGCGAGAGCTCGACGATAGCGAAACCGCCGCGGTCGCGGCGTTACCGATCATGGAAGCCAACGCCGCGGCCGTCGCGGCCGCGGCGGCGGCGAAGGCGAGAGAAGGCGTCGCGATCGAGCCCGAAGCGGACGGCGGCGGCGACGACGACGAGTGGGAAGACATCGACCCGGGTGCCGACGTGTACGATGCCGACGTGTACGCTGACATGGATGCTGACGTGGACGACGACGACGGCGACGACGAGACCACCGGGTCCGCGTCCAAACCCGCGACCACCGCGCGAAGGCTGACGACGGAGGAGCGCGCGAACGTTCGAACGCTCCACAAGACGGAGCTGCTGTGCGCCGTCGCGCGAAACGCCGCCGTCGCCGCCGCGGCGTGCGACCCGCTCGTGCGAGCGATGGCGATGAGCGTGATCCCGCGCGACGTCGCGTTCGCGTTCGGGGAACGGGAGGAACGTGGAACGTCAACCGACGCGCCCGCACCCGCGGCCGCGCCGGACGTGAAGCACGTCGCCGCGGTCGCGAAGTGGTTCGCGGGCAACGTCAAGGTGGTGTCGAAGAGCGTTTTATTTTCGCGCGCCGCCGCGGGGGCGGGGGGTCCCATCGCGTCGACGCGGCCGGTCGGCGGCGGCGGCGGCGGCGCGTCGTCGTCGAGGGCGAAGCCGAAACCGCGCGAGGAAGACGTCATCGTGCTCGACGACAGCGACGACGACGACGACGACGACGACGACGGCGGCGGGGAAGGCAAAGGGAAAGGGAGAGAGGAGAGGAAGAAGGAAGACGACGCCGCCTCTCTCGCCGCCGCGGCTCGGAAAGCGTCGATCCTCGCCGCCGCGCGCGTCGCGTCCGTCGGCCACGCCACGCGCCTCGCGTTCGCGCTCGCGCGCCGCGAGTGCACGCAAGAGGAGCTCGCGGGGTTGTTCGTGGCCGCGATGAAGGGGCTCGGGTGCGACGCGAGATTCGTGTGCGCGCCGGAGCCGGCGCCGCTGAAGTCGACCGCCGCGGCGTTGGAAACCCTCGGGATCATACCCAGAGAGACGCCGCCGTGCGAGGAGCACGCAGGGAAAAAAAGGAGAAAGAAAACGGCCGAAACGGCCGCCGCCGCGAAGAAGGGATGCGAAACGTCGACCGTCGCGAAACGCGCCGCCGCGAAAGACGCCGCGGATGACGTCGTCACGCACTGGTGCGAGGTGCTCTGCGTCGCGCCGCCGACCGCGGACACGCCGTACGTCTCGAACCCCGACGCGCCGCGCTGGGTCTGCGTCGTGCCGCACACGGTCGGGGTTACGTCTTCGAACGCGAGGTGGTCGTTTCACGGCGGCGGCGCGAGCGTCGACGCGGTCGCGGACGTCTCGGCGGGGAGAGTCGCGTCGAGGGCGCTGCGTTACGTCCTCGCGTTTCGAGCGAAAAACGTTTCTTCAGGGAGCGTTACCTGGAGCGCGAAGGACCTCACGCGGAAGTACGCGCCCGTGTTGTCGCAGACGATACCGCACCGCGTCGAGCTGCCGTGGTGGCTGGAGACGACGAAGGCGATGCTCGAGAGAGAGCGCTCGATGGACGACGGCGGCGGCGGCGCGGCGGCGGCCGGGACTTCGACCTCGACCTCGACCTCGACCTCGACCTCGACCTCGACCCCCGCCGCGATCGCGAGCGCGACGGAGGACGCGGAGATGGACAAAAAAGCCGCGTGCGAGCGCGTCCCGTCCACGCTGAGCGAGATCAAGAACCACCCGCTGTGGGTCCTCGAGCGGTTTCTCCCGGCGAACCAGGTGGTCTACCCGCGCGATCAAGTCAAAGGGTTCATCCAAGGCGAATTCGTGTTCCCCCGGTCGCGCGTGCAGACGCTGCGCAGCGCGGACCGATGGAAAGCAGAGCGACGGCGGACGGTGAAGCCCGATGAGCTCACGAAGCCGGTGACGAAGATTCACAGCCGACGCGCGAGGGCGGCGATCGCGGCGAGGGACGCGGCGCGACGCCGCGCCGCCGCCGCGGCGACGGCGGCGGCGTCTGGGGTCAACGCGGGTAAGCGCGTGGCCGCGCGTCGCAAGGGCCCCAAGTCCGTGGAAGAGAAAGCCGCGGAGACGAAAGCGAAAGACGGCGGCGGCGGCGGCGGCGGCGACGGCGACGACGACATCCCCGGGGACGTCCCTCTGTACGGGGAGTGGCAGACGGTGGAGTATCATCCGCCCGCCGCGGCGAACGGCGTCGTCCCGAAAAACGAACGCGGCAACGTGGACTTGATCGGCGGCGCGTTGCCCCCGCCCGGGACCGTCCACGTGTCGCTGCCTCGTATAACGCGCGTCGTTCGAGCGTTACGCGGGATTGATTTCGCCGCCGCGCTCGTCGGGTTCGAGTACCAGCGCGGCGGCGCGGTCACGCCGAAGTTTGACGGCGTCGTCGTGTGCGAGGAGCGCGAGGAGGACGTGAGGGACGCGTGGCGCGCGGAGGAAAAGAAACGGCTGGAGGGCGAGCGTTTTAAGGAGTTACGGGAAGCCGCGAAGCGGTGGCGGTTGTTACTCAGCGCGGTGTGGACGCGGCAGAGCTTGCGCGAGGAGTTTGGGATGGACGACCGCGGCGGCGGCGGCGGCGGCGGCGGCGAGCGCGACGAGGACGAGGACGACGACGACGACGACGCGGCGGCGGCGACGGCGCGGCGCGTCGCGGCGCTGACCGACGACCTCGACGGCCACGGCGGGAGCAGGAAGAAGCAGAAGACGTGGATTCCCGCTTTCGCGGAGGTGGAGTACGTGTGACGAGCGAGCGAGCGACGTGCGGACGGACGGCGTTCGCGGCGACGGAGCGAACGGTAGACGGTCTTAGTTTAAAGTAGTGGTAGAGAACGAAAGCGACGACGACGACGACGACGACGACGACGACGACGAACGAAGACGACGAGCATCACGAGGAGGTTTCTTCGAAGCTAATAATATGTTGTCGTTATTACATGCATCAATAGTAATGTCGCGAAGCAGTCTAGTGCGTCGCGGCGAACGAGCGCCGCGGAAAGAATCGGTGAGGCTAACGCGGCGGATGAAATTATTCCCTCCGCGCGGGAAGATAAAAAAGTGTCACCCTTTCGGCGACCCGTCCGGCGACTTCCGGTACGCCGCCGCGAGCTTCTCTCGCTGCGCGGCGTAATTATTCTGCCCCCACGACGGCCTCGACGCCATCCCTCCCTTCACCACCCTCTCGTGAGGATTTTGCTCGGTCACTGCGACGGAGGAAGAGGGTAGGGAGACGGCGGGGGAGTCAGCGAAACGAAGAGGAGGGGAAAAACGCAATGCATCGTCAGCAGCGACCGTATCGACAAGATGCGCCGCGCGTCCGCGCCGCGCGCGGCGCCGTCCGTCGTCGCGCGCGCGCCCCTCGAAACGCCCTCGAACGACCTCCCGTCGCGTCGCGCGACGACGGCGAGAAAACGGGAATGAAACTCCCTCCGCGCACCTGTCACCTCGCTGACGCCGTCTTCGTCCATGACGGCGTCCGCGTCGACGCCGCTCTGCGCGGCCGCGAAGCACCCCGCGAGCAGGTCACTGATGCTCTCCCTTCCCACGACGCTCGGGGAGATGTCCCCGCCGAACATCGTCATCGCGCTGTCCTCCGGAACGCCGTAGTCGATCCCCGGGATCCGCAGGTGCTTCGGAGGGAGGTACCCGCGCAGCGCCCACTTCACGCCCGCGCCCTGCGCGGTGGGAGGCGACGCGTTATACGCGGAGGCGAATAATTGCTCCTCGGACGTCACCCGGTGTAAATCCCTGACCATGGCGCAGCGCGCGTGCGCGGCCATCGCGCCGGCCATGACGCCGCGCTCCCTCTTCGCGGGGTGCGCGCCTTTGCCTTTCTCGCGCGTCCGGAGTGGGTTTCTTCCGGTGCGGCGAGCGCGTGTGCGTGCGCGCGCGCGAGTGCGGTCGCGGCGGTCGCTCCGTGAAAAAAAGGTTCGGCAAAGTCCACGTAAGCACGACGCTCATTGGCCGATTCCGTATCCGCTGGAAGGCGACTGGCCTCGACCGCGGAAACTTGGCGGGGTTTTCTTGACCGCGGCCTCGCGGTGAAAATATCGGAGCATCAAAGGAGAAATTCTGGCGCTCGATCGGGGAAAACGGCGCGGTGCCGGGTTCGATCTCGCGATGAAAAACCAAAAATATCGCCTCGGGTTTGGTTTTCGGCTCGCGCTCGCGGCGCCTTTTCTGACTCGGATGGGTGGATTCTATCAGTCGCCGCGTCCCGTCCTCCCGCGCCCTCACACCGACTCGCGACGCCCACGCGCACCGCACGCACACGGCGTTCCTCACGCGCGCGCGCGAGCGTACCCCCTCGCCGTCGTCGACGCACCGCACTCACCGCGACGCGCAGACCCGCCGTCCGCCCGACCGCGCCCCGCGCGTGATCGACTAACTCAAAATGCTGAGCCTGACCCTGTCCGCGACCGCGACGCGCGCGTCGCTCTCCGCGCCGCGCCGCGTCTCCGCGCCCCGACGCCGCGGCGCTTCCGTTCGCGTCCACTCCGGCGGTAATAAGAAGTCCGGGGAGATACACGAGGAGCTCAAGGAGAAGTTCACCACCGGAGGCGGCGGGTACAAAGGGTTCTGCGACTACGAGGAGATCCGAGAGGCCATCAAGGAGTGCGACGGATTAGGTGCGTTCTATACACTGGTTCCCATACGACCGCGTCGGCGTGGTGAACGCCGATCCTTAAGGACTTTTGCCGTCGTCTCTCCACGCCCAACCCTCGCTTTCAATCCCCGCCCTCGATGCCTTTCAACTTCAACTGACGCCTTTCAACTCCACCCCGACATTCGCTTGTATGGAACGACCCTTAGACGGCGCGCGGCTGGAGGCGTGCTACGCGGAGTTCGGGTGCGACGTGGACAAGGTCACGGAACACTACGCGAAAGCGGCGGGGATCGACGCGAAGAAGAAAAAGGCGGACGAGTGAGCGAAGAACGAACGTCCGCGATGGATGGATCGATCCGCGAAGGAAGGAAGGAAGGAGGGAGGGAGGGAGAGAGGCGTTCCGAGAAATGAATGAATGCTAATCACTCATCACTACACACGCGTCAGTCATCCACGTCACAACCACACGCACTTCGTGTGCGCGCCCACGCTCGGGGGGTTCGATAACCGCGCGGCCGCGAACGCGGCGAACTTCGCTTGCATCGCGCCGAGCGCCCTCGCGTCGCCGCCGTCGTCCTTCTCCTTGCCGTCCCTCTTCCCTCTCCCGCCGCCTTTCTCGCCGCCGCCGAACAGAAGCCGCTCGGTGCACATGTACGCCTGCAGCTCGTTCACGCACAGCTCGCGGTCGTCGCCGTCGTACCTCAGCCCTTTCAAGAACGCGACCCACCGCGCCTTGTCCTCCTCCGCGACCTCGTCGTCCCAGTGCGCGTAACACGCGTCGCGCCAGCTCGCGTCGGTGTAGAAAACCATGTGCATCGCCTCGTGTAGCAGCGCGTCTCGAACCTGAGGGACGTTCCATACGAAGCGACGTCGGGGTGGAGTTGAAAGGCGTCAGGTGGAGTTGAAAGGCGTCGAGGACGGGGATTGAAAGCGAGGGCTGGGCGGAGAGATGCGCCGGCGAAAGTCCTTAAGGATCGGCGTTCACCACGCCGACGCGGTCGTATGGGGACCAGACTACAGAACGCGCCTCGTCGCGGTTCGAGCTCCCCGCGACCGCCGCGACGACGGGTCCGCCGTCGCCGTCGCCGTCGTGTCCTGTTGTCCCCGGTCCGGACGCGACCCAGCGGCCGGATTTGTCCGTGCGCAGGACGCCAACGCGCGCGAGCGCGTCGCGGAGCGCGATCTCCGCGGACGTCGGCGCCGCGCCGGGCGTCGCGTCGACGCGATTGAGGAATCGCGCGAGGTCGCGCGCGCGCATGTTGTGCCCGCTGTAGTTGGCGACGCCGCCGCGCTGCCCCGACGGAATCCTGTCCACGACGACGCCGCGGTCGTCGAGGTCCTCTAAGAAGACGGACGCGCGGCCCATCGCGTCTCTCTGCGCGGCCGCGGAGGGGAAACGCAGGAGGAACACGCGGTCGTCGCGATCCCAACGCGACACGGTCACGGTCGCGCTCGACGACGACGACGACGACGACGCGCCGGTGAGGCTGTCCGCGAACTGTTCCAGCGTGACCGTCGGCACGCCGCCGCCGCCGCCGCCGCCGCCGCCGCCGCTCTTGCTCTTCCCCATCCCGACGCCGACGCGACGCCCGCGCGCGCGGATCTCGTCAGCGCGCGCAAAACTCTCGTTCCAACCAGACTTTCGTCGAAGAATTTAATCTTCAACGCCTACCTATCGCGCTACCTACCTACGCCCGCCGTCGCCGCTGCCGCGCGCTCGACGGCTCTCCTCCTCCTCCTCCTCCTCCTCCTCTGCGTCTCGCGGCTCCACCGCGACCCACCACCCTATCCTCGTACGGCCGCGCGTCCTCGAACTCGCTCCTCCGCGCGGCGAACGGTCCGTGCAGCCCGTCGAACGCTTTTTCGAAATTTCCTCCGCGAACCAATCGCTCCACCTCCTCCGGAAACAGCGCCGCGCGAACCACCGCGGCGAGACGCTTCGGCGTGCGAATCGTCACGTCGTCTCCCCACGTGCACTTCGGCACAAAGTACGCCGCGTACCTCGCGTCGCACGCGCGCGCGAGGAGCGCGTACTCGGTGTGATACGCGCTCGCGCCGGGGACGATCTCGATCAGCGTCGGTCGCCGACGGCGGTGACGCGCCTCGTCGTTCGCCGCCGCCGCGGCGTAGAGCACGTTCGCGAGGCCGGCGCCGTGCACGCCGACGATCGCGTCCGCGCCCCTGAACACGCTCCATCGATCGCTCGACGCGGCCGCGTCGTCGTCGTCGTCGTCGTCGCGGCCGCCGCCGCCCCCCAGCTTTCTCCACGTCTTCACGTCGTGCGTGTCGCTCGGGGTCGAGGGTCCGTACGAAGCGACGTCGGGGTGGAGTTCAAAGGCGTCAGGTGGAGTTGAAAGGCGTCGTACTGTGTCGGGGATCGAAAGCGAGGGGTGGGAGGAGAGAAACGCGCGCCGGGAGAGAAAGTCCTTAAGGATCGGCGTTCACCACGCGAACGGGGTCGTATGGGAACCAGTGTGATAAGAGAACGCACCTCAACGCCGCCGCGAGCGCTTCCAATACTTCTTCGCGGTTCGCGACGCGTCGCCGAGTCTCCAGGTCCTCGCCGTCGCGTCCTCGACGCAGACGAACGTCCGATCGATCGATCAGCACCACGTGCGGACGCGCTGGCGGCGCCGTGGGGGTAGCAGTACGGTCGTCGAGAAGGTTTAGGGTGAACTCGCGAAGCCGCGGCATTAAAACGTCTCGAACGAGGACGTTACTCGGATGCAGATTCGGCGTGAAAGACGCGAAGAGCAGCTCCCTCGCGCGATACAACACGTCGTCGCGCTTGAGCACCAGCCTCGCGCGGTCGAGACCGTCGAAGAAGCGTTCGGCGTTCCGGATTACCTCGCGCATGAAGATGCAGTCCGGCACGAGCACCTTAATCTCCGGCCGTTCTCGCAGCAGAGGCAAGCACGCGGCGAGCTTCGGAAGATATTCCGCGAAGAGATGATACGGCGAACGGCTGTGCGCCTGCGAGACGTCCAGCAACACGTCGTGCGCCTCGACGATCACGTCGTTTTGGGTTGCGGAACACCCCGAGGACGCCGCCGCGATCTCCTCGTGGAAAGCGCCGTAGGCTTCGAACGCGCGCGCGTCGCTCATGAAGTGCGTCCGACGACGGGCGCCTTCTTCGTCTTCGTCTCCGCCGCCGCGGCTGCCTGCGGTGAGGGCCGTTCTATACGAGCGAACGTCGGGGTGGAGTTGAAAGGCGTCAGTTGGGAGTTGAAAGGCGTCGAAGGCGGGGATTGAAAGCGAGGTGTGGGCGGAGAGATACGACGGGCAAAGTCCTTAAGGATCGGCGTCCACCTCGCCATTGGGGTCGTATGGGGACCAGTGTATAGAACGCACCTGAGCGTCTTCGCGAGCGTCGCCCAACACAGGTCCATCGGGCGAAACGTCGCCGTCGCCGTCGCCGTCGCCTCCTCTCCGTCGCCGTCGCCGTCGCCGCTCGAAACGCGCACGTCCACGACGCCTCTGTCGCGCAAGACGCGATAGGGCCCGTCCAGGCGGTCGAGGAAGAATCGCGCGTCGTCCCACACGCACCCGTCCATGCTCGTGCACGCGTCGCGCAGCGAGCACACGGACAGCTTGGACGCGATCGGGTCTCGCGCGAGGAGGACGTTCTGGAGGAAGTGCGCGCGCTGCAGCGACGCGTGCGCGGCGCCCCACGCGATCGATGTGTCGCCGTCGCCGTCGTCGTCGCCGTCGCCGTCGACGTAAATCTCGGGGAGCTCGCGCGAGATCTCGTCGTACGCGAGCGTATCGAGGACGACCGTGACGTCCGGCTCCGCGTGGATATCGTCGACCGCGCGCAGGCGCACGGGCGCGGTGACGTCGATCGGAGCGGTCATCGCGGGCGCGGCGGCGGCGGCATCGCGGGGCGCTCGCGCGCGGGCGGGGAGTGCGATCGCGTTTGACGACGAGCTGACTGTATTTTCTGTTCGCTCTCGTCGCGTCCTTCCTGTCGTCGCCTTCGTCAGTGTCCCTCCGCGCGCGCGTCATGTCCGTCGCGCCGCCCTGCAGCGCGCCCTCGCGCGCCCTCGCGCGCCCTCGCGCGCCCTCGCGCGGCCGCGCGGCCGTCGTCGTCGCCGCCGCGTCGCCCCCCGAGCGACGCGCCCCCGACGATCCTCGCGCGAGTCGTCTCGGAAGAAGACATCATCTCGCGTCGTCCGTCGCGCTCGCGTCGCTCCTCGCGTCTCCCCTCGCCGCGCGCGCGGTCGAGCCGCCGACCACCCCGGACGCGTCGTCGTCGCCGTACATCCGATCCCTCCTCGCCAAGTCGGAGGCGAACAGAGAGCTGCGAGAGCTCGAGCTGCAGAACAAGAACTGCCTGCGGCAGAGCGACATGGGCATCGGGGACTGCGCGGGGCTGAGGTGCGTTCTATGTCACACTGGTTCCCGTACGACCGCGTCGGCGTGGTGAACGCCGATCCTTAAGGACTTTTCCCGGCGTGTCTCTCCGCCCACCCCTTGGTTTCAATCCCGACACACCTCGACGCCTTTCAACTCCGCTTCTGACGCCTTTCAACTCCACCCCGATATCATCGCTCGTACGGAACGACCCGGAGTCGCGACGATCTGAAAGCCGCGATGGACGAGAGCGTGCGGCGGTTGGAGAAGAGGAAGACGGCCGAGGCCGCGGAGGCGGCGGAGGAGGAGAGGCTGCTCGCCGCGGGCGCGGCCGCGGAGGCGCGCTCCGCGGAGGCGGCCGCCGCGAGCGAGAACGAGAGCGGCGGCGGCGGCGGCGGCGGCGGCGGCGGCGGCGAAACCGAGTAAAATAATCATGTGATCCAACGATCATCAGTCAACGCGCGCTTTCGCTCTCGCGCCCTTCATCGCGTCCCCGTTTGGCGTCGTGCCTAAGATCCGATCTAATACCCGGTTCGTTATCCCGAAGCTCACGTCGCAGTCGTCGTAGTGGTGCTTCATGTGCGTCGACCGGAGTTCGCTCTTTCCCCCGCGTTCACCGATCAGCGCTCGGCGAATCCATCCTCGCGCCGGTCCCCACCTGAGGGTCGAGGGTCCATACGAGCGATGATATCGGGGTGGAGTTGATAGGCGTCAGTTGAAGTTGAAAGGCGTCGAGGTGTGTCGGGATTGAAACCGAGGAGTGGGCGGAGAGACACGCCGGGAAAAGTCCTTAAGGATCGGCGTTCACCGCGCGGACGCGGTCGTATGGGGACCAGTGTGAGATAGAACGCGCCTCCACCCCGACCGACCCCCGCCCCCACCCCCACCCTCTCCACCCTCTCTCTCTCCAATCGCTCCGATCGTCGCGTCGTGGTGCAAAAAGTAATGCACGCAGTCGTAGTGCACGTACGCGGTCAGGCACCCCGCGAACGCGATGGCGCCCGTCGCCGGCGTCGGCGCCAGCGCGCGCGTCCTTGAGTCCATACGAAGCGATGTCGGGGTGGAGTTGAAAGGCGTCAGAAGCGGAGTTGAAAGGCGTCGAGGGCGGGTATTGAAAGCGAGGGACCCTGGGCGGAGAGATGCGCCGGAGAGAAAGTCCTTAAGGATCGGCGTTCACCACGCGAACGCGGTCGTATGGGGACCAGTGTACGGGACGCACCACGCCAACCACGACGCGGCGACGACCGCCGCCCACGGCGCCGGCGGGAACACCAACCGCAGCGCGTCCATCGGGGACTTGTGGTGGCAGCCGTGCATGAGAAAATGCGCGACGATGCCGGCGCGCGTCCGCGGCGCGCGGTGGAAGACGAAGCGGTGGAAGACGTACTCGCCGACGCTCCACGCCGCCGCGCCGATCGCGAAGAAGGTCGCGACGACGACGACGACGACGACGACGACGACGACGCGCGCGGCGACGGCGTCCGAATCGTCCCGGTCGCCGGCCCCCGCGATGGCAGCGATGGAATCTGAGGAATCGTCGCCCCCTACCCTCCCTCTCTCCGTCGCCGCGACCACCCCCAGCACGCCGCGCGCGAACGCCGCGAACGCCACGGGGAGCCACACCGTCGGGACGACCCACCATCGCGTCCGCGACGCGCGCTCGAGAACGTCCGATTTAAAGAATCGCATCGGTCCCGACCCGAGCAGAGGCTCGCGCGTCCACGACTCGTACGCGTCGCCCAGCGCGCCCACCTGAGCGACGAGCGGCTTGGAGAGGTCGACGCCGTGCGCGTCGATCGTCGTCGTCGTCGTGGAGCCGTCCTCGGACGCGGCCGCGTCGTCCGAGTCCTCGCTCGCCGTCGCCGCGTCGTCGTCGTCGTCGTCGTCGTCGTCGTCGTCGACGTCGTCGTCTTCGACGAGGACGCCCACCTTGAGCCGCGCCAGGATCCGCCGCGCGGCGTCGCTGTGCGCGTGCGCGCGCACGCTCGATCGTCCGCCATCGCCGCGGAACGCGCTCGAGGCGTCTCGCGCGCCGCCGACGAACGCGCGCAGCGATCGCTCGCCTCCCGGGTGCGCGAATCCGCCGACGTCGTACACGCCTCCGTCGACGACGATCAGGGACGCGCCGACGCCCGCGCGAACGCCCTTGACGACGCGGACGCCGTCGCGGACGTCCTGGCGCGTGTAGGACCGCGGCGGCGACGGCGCCATGACGACGCGACGCGACGCGACGGACGCGCGCGCGCGGGGGGCCGCGCGCTATGTATGATCCGGAATCTGTTCGACATTTGATGAAGCGTCCTTCGGAAGCGCGCGGCGCGATAGAAGGTTTGAAAGGAGATTTTTTGATCGAAGATCGGTTTTCGTTTCATCGATCCGCGTCAGCTTTGCCTAGGTGGCACCCCTTTGAGACGACAGCTCGGACGAAACGACGACTTTTTTTTAAAAAAACGACTTGTTCCCACCCGCGCGCGTCGTCGTCACACCCCGTCGCGCGCGCGATAGACGCCCACCGCGCTCGCGGCGACGCACGCGCGTCCGGTGGCGATGTCGTCGCACGCGTCGACGGTCGCGGCGGAAATGGCGGCGACGCCGCGCGTCGCCGCGGCGCGACGATCGCGCGGCGGCCTTCGTCGTCCACCACACGGAATCGCGCTTCGTCTTCATCATCATCGCGCGCGCTCGCCGCCGCCGCCGCCGTCGCGACGCCGCGCGCTCCGACGACGCGCGGCCGCGTCCTCCGACGACGCCGCGTCCTCCACGTCGACCGAGGCGCGCGACGCGCCGCCGCCGCGAACTCCTCCCCGGCGCGGCCGAGACGCCTCCTCGCTCGACGACGCGGTACCGTCGCGGCGACCGCCGACGCTCGGCGCGCGCGTCGATATCGCCGGGTCCGTCCCCGAGATCGAGTGGCACGCGGCGACCGCGACGAGATCCCGCCGCGACGACCTCGCGCGGACGCTCTCCAACCCCGCGACGTTCCGCGAGCCTCTGATCCTCCGCGGCGCCGCGGACGCGTGGCCCGCGGTGTGCGACGCGACGCGCGAGTGGACGCTGACGCGCCTCGCGCGCGAACACGCCGACTTCGAGGGCGAGGCGAGGGTGTTCAACGACCGCGGCGCGACGAGGCTCGGCGTGCGCGACGACAGCTTCGTGTTCGTCGAGCCGAGTCACCCGGCGGTGCGATCGGGCGCGTTCGACGCGCCGAGCGCGACGGAGACGGTGTCGATCCGCGACGTCGCCGCGCGCATGATCGACAACACGTCGGGAAGGGACGGCGTGTATCTGCAGGCGACGCTCGGCGATTCGCCGCTCTCGGCCGAGGTCGGATTAGGAGGGTCCGGCGACGGCGGCGTCGCGGAGGAGGAGGAGCCGTGGAAGAGCATGGAGGACGCCGGGTGGGCGGAGACGCAGCCGCCGCGGCTGTGGCTCTCCGCCGCGGGCGCGACGACGCCGTTGCATTTCGATCAGAGCGTCAGGTGCGTTCTATACACTGGTCCCCATACGACCCCGTTGGCGTGGTGAACGCCGATCCTTAAGGACTTTTCCCGGCGCATCTCTCCGCCCACACCTCGCTTTCAATACCCGCCCTCGACGCCTTTCAACTTCAACTGACGCCTTTCAACTCCACACCGACGTTCCCTCGTATGGAACGACCATCAGCGTGCTCGCGCAGGTGCACGGGACGAAACGGATGCTGTTGTATCCGCCGTCCGCGCTGAGCCGAGCGCACTTGTACCCGAACTGGCACCCGCTGCGGAGGAGGAGTAAAGTGCGGCTGGACGCGGTCCTGAGCGAGGAGGAGTCCGCGGCGGCGTGGCCGCGGTGGACAGGCGGCGGCGAGGGCGAAGGTGAGTTGACACACTGGTCCCCATACGACCCCGTCGGCGTGGTGAACGCCGTTTCTTAAGGACTTTGCCCGTCGTTTCTCTCCGCCCACCCCACGGTTTCAATCCCCGCCCGCGACGCCTTTCAACTCCGCTTCTGACGCCTTTGAACTCCACCCCGACGTTCGCTCGTATGGACCCTCGACCCTCAGGCGGCGAGGGCGAAGGCGACTCGATCGGCGAGTTGAAAAACAACGTCGTCGGGTCCGGGTCCGCGTTCGCGTCGCCCCCGAAGGCGTGGGAAGCGGTGCTCGCGCCAGGGGACGTCCTCGTGTTCCCGCCGCGGTGGGCGCACTACACGGAATCCCTCGGCCCGAAGGTGTCCGCGTCCGTGACGAGGCGGTTTAAGGCGACGCGGGCGAACCCGCCGGCGCCGGCGCCCGGAGACGTCGCGATCGGCTCGGAGGAGGGCGTGACCCCGGAGTCTCTGGACGCCGCGCGACGGTTCGCGCGGTGGGCGGAACGCAGAGGGTTCGTCCAGAACCCGACGCGCGCGGCGTCGCGCGCGGCGAGCTCCGCGGCGCGATCGCACGCGCACTTAGCCAGAGACGACGACGACGACGACGACGACGACGAAGTCCTTAAGGAACGGCGTTCACCACGCGAACGCGGTCGTATGGGAACCAGTCACGACGACGACGACGACGACGACGACGACGACGCGGCGGATGACGAACCCCTTGAAACGTATTCGAATTTCGCGCACGGCCACGCGAGCGAAGGCCGCCGGTCGATCGCGCAGCTCGAGGCCGCGCGCGTCGTCCGCCCCGTCTCGCGGCTGTCGCGGCTCGACGATCACGGAAGGGTCGTCGCGGAAGACTGCGCGGCGAGCGCGCAGAGCCGGTCGTTTCGGCGGACAGGGGGCGCCGCGGGGCGAGGCGGCGCCGCCGCGTGGGCCGAGCAGTGGTGGGCCGCGACCGAGGACGCGGGGGACATCGCGCTGAGAGTCTTCAACAACGGCGAGGTGGGCGCGACGGTCGAGGCGGGCGCGACGGTCGCGGACGACGACGCGACGGTTAACGGCGGGATGAACGGACACCGCGTGAAGGTGAACCTGCGCGGCCCGTTCAGAGACGCCGCCGGGGAGGACGTCGTCAGGGTCGACCTCGCGATCGTCCCGGGCGGCGGCGGCGACGCTTCGTCTTCCGCTTCCGGCGGCGTTCCGTCTTCCAGCCGACTGACGTCCGACCGCATCACGCGCGCGGACTCGGAGATCGCCGCGGGGCGCGTGATTGGCGTGTACGCGCGCGGATCCGTCGCGCGAGGCGAAGCGCGCGCCGGCGTCAGCGACGTCGACGTCGTCGTCGTGCTCTGGGGCCACGAGTCCGCGGACGACGTCGTCGAGCTCGCGCGTCAGAAACGCACGCTAAAGAAGCGTTTATCCTCGAAAGAAGAGTGGCACGGCCGCTGGGGGCACCTCGCGACGAAGGCGGACGTGCGGGTGGTGACGGTGCCGCCTCCGCCGCATCCCGCGGGGACGGCGCTCGCGGCGGCCATCGCCGGCGAACCCCTCTCCCGCCAGTCCAAACCGAACGCGGCGGCGTCCGTGACGCTGTGCCTGGGCGAAGAGAACACGTTCGTGCTCGCCGCGGAGTGCGCGACGGTGTACGGGCCGGACTTGCCGAAGATGCTTCCCGCGAGCGCGCGGACGCCGCCGCTTCGGTGTTTGCCCACGCTGTTCGAGGACGTCACGGAGGCGATCGCGGACGGCGGCGAAACGGCTCTGAAATGGGCGTTACGGCGTATACTACGCGCCGCGTTCGAGCAGCACGTCGTCGCCGGCGAGGCGTGCCACGTAGGCGGCGCCGCCGCGGAGCCAGGGTGCGGGTACTACACCCGAGATTTGTATCACTGCGCCGCGTTGGTGTCGGACGCGAAGCCCGAGCTCGGGGAGGACCTCGCGAGCGCGCTCGTCGCCGCGGTGTACGGGCCGAGGGCGGCGTGGGGGGGGTTGTGGTGGGCGTGCGGCGCGGCGACCGCGCAGCGGTTGCGCGACGCCGTCGTCTACGGCGACGAGTGAGGCGACGAGCGACGATGCGAATAGTGCGTACCTCGCGCGACGACGACGACAGTGGACGCCGCCGCCGTAGATCGCGATGAGTTATTTAATCCCACTACCTTATTACTATGCTTCCGCGCTCGTGGACGTCGCGAATCACCCGATGCCTTCGTACGGCGTTAAACCCGCGGCGTTCTTCGCGTCCTTGTCCGCGCCCTTCTCGACGAGGAAGTCCCCGAGCGCGTTGAACCCGAACTGCACTGTGAAATGCAACGCGGTGTTACCCTTGTTATTTTTGGCGTTGACGTTTCCGCCGTATCGCTCTGCCATTTTAACGATCCGTCCGTGGCCGTTTTGGCACGCGACGATGAGCGCGGTGTTCCCAAACGTGTCCACGACGTTCGCGTCGATTCCGCGCTTGAAGTACTTCTTCACTTTCGCGTATTCGCCTCGCCGCGCGGCTTTGATGAAGGCGGGGTATTCCTTCTCCTCCACCGGCGCGAGAGGCTTTTTTTCAGCCGCCGCGTCCGCGACGCTCGACATCGTCGAGCTGCCGCCCGGCGAGCCGCCGTGGGCGCTGCTGCCGTACACGCTCGCGTCGTCGTCGTCGTCGTTCTCGTCCGCGAACGGGTCGGATTTGATCCCGCCGTTGAGCTTGAGCTTCGCGGCTTTTCGCGCCAACTTCGCGGCTTTGAGAAATTCCGAGGTCGGGAGGCCGGACAGGACGTCGACGCCCTCGCCCAACGGCATCGGGACGCGGTTCGACGCGGCCACGACCGACGGCCTCGCGACGACGAGTGGCTGTGAAGAGGACACGTCAGCAAAAACAGTACCCGCAGATTCGGTAGATTCGACGGTCGAGGGTTTCCATTGGTCCACGTACGCGCCGTACGTCGACGTCGCCGGCGCCGCCGTCGACCGCGCGCCGTACTTGCACGCCGCCAACGCCGCAGCCGCCTGCGCCGTTGAAACCGCCGCAGCGCGACCGTTATCGTCCACCACCGCGCGCATCGCGGAGTCCTTCGCCAGCGGCGGGTCAACGCCGAGAGATATCGAACGCGAGTACGTCGCGGAGTCCTCCTTCGCGGCTTTCAGATACGCGCCGCTGAGTCCCGCGACGTTAACGACGGGTCTCAACGACAGCTCGGGTTCTCGGCGCGCCGCCGCCGCCGCCGCCGCCGCCGCCGCCGTCTCATCGAACAATCGCGCGTTCAACGCGTCGCCGTCGACGTCCGCGACGTCCTCTTCGATCGCCGCCGCCGCCGCCGCGGTCTCCGACGCGAGGGACGAGTGCAGCGACGCCAGCCGCGAGCTCCCGCGTTCGACCGTCGCGGCGACGGGCGGCGCAGGCGGCCGCGGGCTCGGCGCTAATTCCTCCAGCGTCCGCGTCCTTCGCGGATCGACGCCCAGGACGCTCGCGAATTGGAACGAAGAACTGGAACGCGAATCGTCGTCGCCGCCGTTAGAATGTGAATGCGAATCGTCGCCGGTCTCCACGCGACCCAACGCGCCCAAATTGGACCCGCCGCCCGCCGCCGCGGCGCCGCGGCGTACGCTCCGATACCCGTCCTCGGGTCCGAGTATCCGTCGAAGAATCGCCGCGCCCTTCACCGCTTCCGGCTTGTCGCGTCCCGGGTCGCCGACGCCGTCGGGGACGACGTCCCGCGCGACGCCGCGCGCGAGACCTAAAGGTTGGGACACCCGCTCGACGCGCGAGAGATCGAGGCGCGGTCCGACGTTTCCTCTTCCCCCCCCGATCGCGTCGGAGTTCGCCGCCGCCGCCGGTCCCGGTCCCGGTCCCGGTGCCGCGATGGCGACGACGTTCGCGCACCGTTCTAAAAGCCGCTTCGGCGTCGCCGCGGCGACCAAGTCGATATCGTCGAGGTCGTCGATGTCGTCGTCGTCGTCATCCTCCAGCTTTTTCAGCGTCTCGAGCTCTCGTCGCTTTTGCGTCAAGGACTGGCGCTTCGCGAATCTCGGAGCGTCCCTCGCGTCGTTCTCGTCCTTCTTTACGACGACGGCGGCCGCCCCTGTCATTCGCATCGCCGCCGCGGTGAGGCTGTCCGCCGCGGCCTGCGCTTCCGCGCCGCTCGGGCCTTCCGCCGGCGGCGTCGGCGGCGGCGGCGGCGGCGCGAGCGTCGCGGACTGGACCCGCCAGATGCTCGCGAGCGCGGCGGCTTGCTCGCTCGGGTACACGCCGTCCAAACGAAACGGCCCGGCGTGGAACGTTTCCGCTTCATCCATACTCGCAGCAGTAGGATGCGCCCGCGCGCTCGCGGGGCACTCCCCGTCGCGCTCGCCACGATGCGACCGCGGCGGCGGCGGCCGCGTCGTCCGCGGCGCGTCCGACTCTTTTTCCGCCGCCTCCGCCGCCGCCTCCGCCGCCGCCGCCGCCCCCCCCCCCGTACGTGAGCGTCAGCACCTCCGCGTCGCCGCGTTTCGTCGCCGCGGTCGCCGTCGCCGTCGCGGTCGAGGTCGAGGTCGGGGAGGACCAGCCCCCCCCGCGCGATGCGCTCGCCGGCGTGCCGCGCTGCTCGACGAGGTCGTACGGCGAGCCGCTCGCCCTCGTCGACGCGAGTCGACTGCTCGGGAACGGGCGGACGGTGCGCGCGACAATGGTCCCCATACGACCCCGTTCGCGTGGTGAACGCCGTTCCTTAAGGACTTTCTCCCCCGGGGACGGGAACCGCGGACTGTCCTCCTCTTCCTCCTCTTCCTCCTCGTCGAAGCTATCCTCCGAAGTCATCCGCCCCGCGCTTCGTCGATAACGCGGCCGCGTCGACCGTTTCATACTCGTCGCCGCCGCCGCCGCCGCGTCCGCCGCAGCCGCGTCAGCCTTCTCCAAAATCGCGACGTAATCCTTCCTCCGCGTCTCCTTCTCGTGCGCGCGCGTCGCCCTGAGTCGGACGCTCCGAAACCGCTCCTCCTCCGCGGCGATCTCCTTCAAACACACCGCCCGCTCCTTCGCGTGCGCGGCGAACATCTCCTCGAGCGTCGCCTTATTCGCCTCTCGGACGCGCTCGCGATGTTTTTTAATCTCGCGCTCCTCGAGCTCCTCGAGCCGCTTCACCAGGTCGAGCGCCTCGCCGAAGCGCTTCTTCTTCACGAGCGCCCTCTGCGACCGGCGCATCTCCTCCAGCTGCGGGCTCCACTCGCTCGGCGCGGAGACCCGCGAGTCGTCCTCCAAGCGCTCGCGGAGTCGGTCTATCGCGTCCGCGTGCCTCGCGCGGAGCGTCGCCTGAACGTCCGCGCATCGCTCGCGGAACCGCGCGTGCTTCTCGTCCCATGCCGCGTCGTGCGCGCGCCTCGCCGCGTCCACGAGCTCGTCGCGGCGTCGCAGCGCGCGCAGGACGTCGCGCATCTCCTGGACGTGCGCGTCGACGGCGTCGCGGTCGTCGACGCGACGCGCGGACGACGAGGGGGACGAATGATGCGAATCTCGCGTCGTGGCTACTGGCGGAAATCTCGCGTCGTCGTCGTCCGCGCGCGCGTCGGCGCGCGCGACGGACCGCCGCGTCGACGATCGCGCGCGTCCGTCGCCGCGCGCGTCACCACGGCTCGACGACCGCGGCCGCGCCGTCGAGGCGCTCCGGGGACGGCCCGTCCGCGGCGCCATGGCCACTGCGCGCAGCCTTGGCGGTTCCGAGAACGAAGGTCGGCACTTCGTTCTCGGAAGTTCTCGCGGCGTACGTGCAGTATGATACGTATTTTTTATCACTCAAACTAAAAAGTCATACAGTAGGGCCTTGCCACCACGTGTGCAACACACGCCCCGCAGCGAATATTCCGAGCCGCAACTTTCGTTCCCGTCGTCGCCGCCGCGCAGTGTCTCGTCGCGCGCGCTCGGCCGCGATCCGTCCGGGGGCGACCGCACAGAGCGCGATGCGCCGCGACGGAGGCGGCGCGAAAGACCCCGGCGCGGCGTCGCCGCCGCCGATGGGCCCGTTCGTGCTTCCCAAAGATCGCCCTCCGCGCCGCGCGAAGAGCACCACGAAGAGCTCCGACGGCTCGGCGTCCGCCGCGCCTCCGTTCAACCCGTGCGGCTGGATGTGCCGCCTGTGCACGCGCGCGGAGGCGCCGGCGTGGGCGGTGCACAACCCGTACGTCGAGAACGGCTACCGCGTCACCGGCGGGTTCCGAGGCGCGATTCGAAGCGTGCTCATGTGGCACAACGAGACGGCGAACATCTGGAGCCATCTCCTCGGGCTGACCGTCTTCGCGCTGCTGACGACGTCGATGGCGACGGGTTGGGGGAACGCGCACGCGCCCGCGCTGCCGGCGTCGTGGATCATGGGCGAGGAGGGGGAGTCGTGGGACGGCGCGGGGGGGGAAGCGCTCAGGGCGACCGTCGAGGTGCGCGCACGTCGTCGCGGCGTCGCGCATCGAGCGTCCCGAGCGTCCGCGAGGGTTTCGTCACGTTCGAAGGCGCACTCGAAGGCGCACTCGGCTTTTTTTCTTTCGCGGCCGCGTCGCTCGCGCCGCTCGTTCCTCGCCGCTCGCTCGCCGCTCGCTCGCTCACCCTCCCCGTCCTCTTCGACGCCGCCCTCAGGCATCGCACGCGACGCTCGCGGACGTCGCGAGCGAGTTGTTCGCCGCGAACGACCTGTGCGTCCCCGGCGCGGACCACTGCGTCGCGGGGGATTGGGGTTACGATCGCGACGACGGCGGCGACGGCGACGACGGCGGCGAAAGCGAAAGCGAAAGCGGCGGCGCGCGCGTCCACAGGCACGTGTCCTTCCTTCACCTCGACGGCGCCGCGAACGCGCTGCGCGACGTCGCGTCGACGCTCCGCGCGCACCTCCACGCGCCGCCGGCGCCGCAGACGACGGGTCCCGACGCGGGCGGGAGACCGACCGCGCGCGAGCTTCTCGCGAGCGAGACGAGCGACGCGTTGCGCGCGAGGCTCGAAGAGGCGAAGAGCGTCCTCGCGAATTCAGCGCACGTGATCGAGGCGAAAACGAGGGAGCTCGCGTCGAGGCTCGAGACGCAGATCGCATCGCTCGCGTCTACGCTGGACGCGGCGTCGTCGGAGGAGGCTGTCCTGTTGCACTACGAGCCCGCGCCGCGGTGGCCGATGTACGTGTTCTTGGCGGGCGCGTGCCTATGTCTGTCGTTTTCGGGGATTTGTCACACGCTGGCGTGCGTCAGCGCGCAGGTGTCGAGCATCGTGTGGCGGATCGATTACGTCGGGATCGTGACGCTCATCATGGCGTCGTTTTACCCCGTGGTGTATTACTCCTTCATGTGCGTCCCCGCGTTGCGGACGTTTTACCTCGTCGGGATTTCCCTTTTCGGGTTTGTCGTCCTGTCCGTGATGCTGTTGGAGAGGTTCCAGGCGCCGAAGTATACGCCGTTTCGCGCGGTGCTCTTCAGCGGTTTAGGCGCGTTCGGGATCTTCCCGCTTCTGCACCAGACGTTGTTCACGTGGCGAATCGTCCCGACGCCGATGGTCGTCACGTTCTGGCTGGAGATATTGATGGGGATGTGCTACCTCGGCGGCGCGTTCATATACGCGCGCGCGGTGCCGGAGAGGTGGAACCCCGGACGATTCGACGTCTGGGGAGGGACGCTGTGTTCGCATAATTTGTTTCACGTGCTCGTCGTCGCCGGCGCGTACGTGCACTACAGAGCCGCGCTCGTGTTGATCGCGTGGAGGGACCATCACCGGTGCGACGCGGACGCGACGTTGCTGCGGACGTTTTATCTGGACAACGGGTGGTTAGGGGGGAGGCATCACGTCCCGTGGATTCCGCACGGGGAGTTGTGACGACGGACGGACGGACGGACGCACGGCGGCGGCGACGACGACGCGACGGATGGTCCGAGGGTCCGAGGGTCGGAGGGTCGGAGGGCGGAAGGGGGGCTCCTCCCGGGCTCGTCCGTCGTCTTCTATTTTTTCGTTCATTCTTCGCACTGGTCCCCATACGACCGCGTTCGCATGGTGAACGCCGTTCCTTAAGGACTTTGCCCAAGGGCTCACGTATCATAGCTCGCACGAATTGTGACCGTACACGTACGTACGAACAACTTACGGTGGTACGCAGACTCCTGTGCCTCGACTATCGATAATCGCCGGTGACTTTTCGTCTTCCAAGCACCTCTCGACTTGGCAGACGTCCGAGACGACGGGACCTTCTCGCGTCCGTCGCGTCGCTTCCTTCAGCGCGCTCCCGCGCGCATTCGACGCGCGCATGACGCCCGAGCGCACGCTCTCCGCGACGTCCAAAGCGCTGCGCGCGTGCGCGTCCGGGGTGGACCGCGCGACGCCGCTCGCGTCCGCGCTCGCGCGCCCGGCGTTTCGAGCCGCGAGCGCGTGGGTCGCGTTTTGGCTCGCGGCGTTCGCGTCGCTCGTCCGTCGCGTCGGCGGCGCCGCGACGCTCGACGCCGCGGTCGCCGCGACGAGGAGAGCGACGATGCTCGCGCGCGCGGCGGCGCCGGCGGCGCCGCGGCGGCGGCGCGCGAAGGGGAAGGAGGAGGAGGACGACGAGGAGGAGGACGACGAGGACGAGGACGACGAGTACCGACGAGAAATGCGAAGCGTCCTCGCCGAGCGAGACGATTGGATCCTCCGATTAACGTCCACGATCGCGGCGTTACGAAGAGACCTCAAACGCGAGCGCGCGAGGAGAAATCGAGCCGCGCTATGAGACACGGGTCCCGAAAGGACCGCGCGCGAGAAGGGGAAGGGGGGGCGTCGAGACCGCGCGCGGCGCGGCGACGTCGGACGACGCGGCGAGAAATGTTTTTCGATTCGATGTATCTGATATTCACAAAGTTTTTTAGTTTTCTGACGCAGTCAGTACACAACACACCGCCTTCCTCCTCGCCATCCTCCTCGTCCTCACCCTTAGAGCTTGTCCTCGTACTCGCTGAGCGCGGGGATGAACTCCTTGATGCCCTTCCGTTTGCGAATGTCCAGCACGAGCTTCCCAGCTTGCGAGTTGGTGTCGTAAGGATCGGACCCGAGCATGTCCCAGTGATCGAACACGCACTGCGGAAACGCCTGACCAGAGGTGGCCGCGCGAAGCGTCCCGGTGAACCCGAACGACTCCATGACGGGGAGGTACGCCTTGATGTTGTAAATCGGCGTCCCCGGGCGCTGCATCTCTTCGATGACCATCCCGCGCTTCTGCGTGATGGTGGAGTAGATGCCGCCGAGCGCCCCCTCCGGCGCTTGAATCTCCACGAGGTACACCGGCTCCAGAAGCTTCGGCTCCGCCGTCATCATGGACGCGTACAACACGCGGCGGCACGTCGGGATGATCTGCCCGCCACCTCTGTGAATCGCATCCGTGTGAAGCACGACGTCGTGAACCTCAAACTTGATCCCGCGCATGTTCTCCTCCGCGATGGGGCCCTCCTTGGTCGCCCACTGAAACGCGGCGACGCACGAGTCCTTGATCTCGTTGAGGTACTGGACACCCTTGCACATGTCGACGATGAGGTTCGGGCCGGTCGTGTCCGGGCCGAAGCACCAGATCTTCTTGCTGAGGTCCTTGTCCCAGCCGAACTTCTCGGCGAGGAAACGGCCGCGGGCTTTCGGTTCGTCGCGAGGGGTGACGTCTCCGTCGTCGATAGCCTCGGCGAGGCCCTCCTCCATGCACGTCGCCTGGAAGTACAGACGGTTGTGCTTGTTCGGGGACTTGGACATGCAGATGTGGTCGGACGTGTTGTTCACGGACTCGCGGAAAGACACGACCGGGTCGGAGATGCGAATCTCCGCGCCGCCCATGAAGTCCTCCTGGAGATCCTTGAGGCAAATCTCGAGGTGGAGCTCGCCCGCGCCGGCGACGATGTGTTCCCCCGTCTCTTCGATCTGGCAGAGCACCATCGGGTCCGACTTGGACAGGCGCTTGAGACCCTCCACGAGCTTGGGCAAATCCTGCGAGTTCTTGCACTCGACCGCGACGCGAACGACGGGGGAGACGGAGAACTTCATCGCCTTGAGCGGGTGCGCCTCGACCTCTTGTTCGCCCGTGATGGTCGCGTTCTTGGAGATGAACTGATCGAGGCCGACCATCGCCACCGTGTTGCCCGCGGGAACGTCCTCGACCGCGTCCTGGCGACGGCCCATGCAGAGCACCGTGCGCTGGATGGACTTGACGTACAGGTCCTTCTTCTCGCCCGGAACGTAGTTGGGGCCGAGGATGCGCACCTTCATGCCCGTCTTGACCTTACCGGAGAAGACTCTGCCGAAGGCGAGGAAGCGTCCTTTGTCTGCGGTGGGAATCATCTTCGAGACGTACAGCATGAGCGGCCCGCTGCTGTCGCAGTTGCGAATGGACTCCGCGTACTTGTCGTCCAGGGGACCCTCGTACAGCGTGTCCGCGCGGTACTTCTGCGCCGTCGCCGGGGACGGCAGGTGGAAGATGATCATCTCGAGGAGCGCGACGTCGGCGGGGAGCCACGTCTGCATGATGCGCTTCATCAGCGGCTTGCCGAGGAGGTCGAAATCCGCCGGCTTGAGCTTCTCCTTCACCTTGAGCTTCTCGAGCATCGGCCAGAGCTTCTCCTTGTTGTCGTTCATCGCCGCGTCGATGACGCGACGGATCGGCTCGTAGATGAACTGAACAAAGGCGCGCATGCACGTCTTCTCGCCCGTGTGCTTCTTGGTCCATTTCTTCGTCTTGGGATCGAAAAAGTTGTCGCCCCAGAGCTTCTCCATCATCTTATCAAACTCGACGCCAAACTTGGCGGCGTACATCTTCGCGAAGACCGTGAGCGTGAAGGCCCAGTTGTGAAGCCCCGCGGAGAAGGACACGGTGCCCTTCTCCGGCGCGACTTGGCAGTCGCCGAGCGCGTCATCCGTGTACGTCGCCATGAGGACGTTTGCGTTTTCGATGACGCGGCAAAAGTTCTGGTACGCCTCTTCGCCGTCGAGCATGAGCTCGAGGAAGCATCGGTCGAGCTTGTTCACCGTCATGACCGGCTTGATGCGCTCGCCGAGCGCTTGACGAAGCACCGTCTCCGTCTGCACGCAGACGCCCTCGACGCAGTCGACGACGACGAGCGCGCCGTCGGTGATTCGAAGCGCCGCGGTGACCTCCGAGGAGAAGTCGACGTGCCCGGGGCTGTCGATGAGGTTGATGAGGTAGTCGTTGCAGTCCGGCTCGCGCGGGACGTGCTTCGGGATGAGCGCGAGGGACTCCTCGTCCATCTTGTAGAAGAGCGAGATGCCGGTGGACTTGATGGTGATGCAGCGATCTTGCTCGTCTTGACGCGTGTCCGTGAGGCGGGCGTCGCCCGCGTTCTCCGCGGCGATGATGCCCGCGGCGGCGACGAGGGAGTCCGTCAGCGTGGATTTGCCCTGCGATGCGAGGAGGAAGAGCGGATGACGAGGAGGGAGGACGGTCAGCGGGAGGCGCTCGAGGCGAGGGCGAGGTTTTTTTGTTTTATCCGCGCGGTCGGGCGACCTGACGCTGACGCGAAAAAAGGGGGGGGCGAGCGCGCGCTCGCGTCGCGGGGCGCGCGCGCTGCCGCGCCGCGCGGGCGCGCGCGATCGCGCGCGCGGTTCGAGCGCCGTCCCGCGATGACGGGCGCGCGCGCGATCGCGCGCGAGAGGGCAAGTCCGCGCGGATCGCGACGCGCGACGCGAGATCGAGCGAGCGATCGCGCGGCGCGCGAATCTCACGCCGCCTCCGAGACGCCGACGCGAGACCGGAACCCTGCCGCCGCGATTGTGAACAAATTTCCCCGGCCGCGAGCTCGAGGGGGGAGCGGGCGCGGGCGCACTCACGTGATCGACGTGCGCGATGACGGACATGTTACGGATGTTGTGCTGCTTGTCCATCTGGCGACGGAGCTCATCGATGGAGAACTGCGAGGAGACGAGGCGGAGGACGAATGCGACGGCGTCAGCGAGGGCGGTTAGGACGGGACGGGAAAAAAACCGATGCGCGGGCGCGGGGTCGGCGTCCGCGTCGCCGGGGGATACGCGACGTCCCGCGGTCGCCGCGCGCGCGACGACGACGTGGAGGACGTATCGGAGGACGCACCTTCACCATGGTTGCGAGATTTCAATTGTCACTGGGCGCTCGCCGCGTGCAATTGCAAAGAGGGCGAGTGGCAAGCCCTCGAGCCGTCTTTATTCCTGTCTCTCCCCGAACCGGTGTGGATTTCTGACAGGACTATCTGACGAGGCGTTGATCGGATGGAAAGGGTCAAGTGGGTGAAATGAGAGCGCGGCGTGGTTTGAAAACGCGGAAGTGAGGGTGAGATGCGATCAACGCGGAAATTGTCGAGACTTCTTTTCTACCTTTTCCCCCCCGCGGTGACATCCATCACCGGCAGCGCCCCGCCCGCCCGCGTCGTCCGTCCATCGACGCGCGCTTCATCACACTCCGCGGATAACAGAACGCGACGATGGCGTGCGCTGTCGCCGCGGCGGCGTCGTTCGCGCGCGTCGGCGTCGGCGTCGGCGTCGACTCGCGCGCGCGCCCTCGCGCGTCCGCGACCTTTCGGTCGTCCTCTCGCGTCGCGGTCCGCTCGCGCGCGCGCGCCGCGCGCGTCGCCGCCGCCGCGGAGGAGCGCGTGACCGTCATCGGAGAAGCGCTCTGGGTGCGTCGCCCGCCGCCGTCGTCGTCGCGTTCGTCGCGTTCGTCGGTCGCATTCGTCGCGTCGTCGTCGTCGTCTCGTCCAGGGATCCGCGATCCGATCTGACTCACCCTTCCCCCGCCCCATCATCATATCATATCATCCTTCCCCAGGACTCCCTCCCCGCGGGCCTGTTCCTCGGCGGCGCCCCCGCGAACGTGGCGTGCCATCTCAACGAGCTCGGCCGCCCCGCGACGATCGTCTCGCGCGTCGGCGACGACGAGCTCGGGCGCGAGGTATTGCGTCGCCTGACTTCGCGCGGGCTCGACACGTCTTCCATCCAAGTGGACGACGGCGGCGTCGCGACCGGGTTCGTCGTCGTCACGATGAAAGGCGCGATGCCGTCGTACGACATCGTTCAGCCCTCCGCGTGGGACGCGATGACCGCGAGCGACGACCTCGTGGCGGCCGCGAGCGGCAACGTCGTCGTGTACGGATCTTTGGCGCAGAGAGACGCGCGGTCGCGCGAGGCGATAAAGGCGGCGGCGGCGGCGGCGTCGAGACGCGTCTTCGACGTCAACCTCCGGAAGCCGTTCATCGACCCGGAGCTGTGCGTCGAGCACGCGACGGGGTGCTGGCTTCTGAAGCTCAACGACGAGGAGCTGCCGGAGATGGCGGGCTGGTTGGGGATCGAGTCGTCGGAGTCCTCGGATGCGTCGGATTTGGCCGAGAAGGTGCACGCGAAGCTCGGGTGCGAGATGCTGTGCGTCACGCGCGGCGGCGACGGCGCGGCGATCGTCTCTAAGACCGAGGGCTTCGTCCAGCACCCCGGGTTCGAGGTCACGCCCGTGGACACCGTCGGCGCGGGGGATTCTTTCCTCGCGACGTTGCTCGATCGGTTGCTGTCGGGGGCGGGCGCCGCGGAGGCTTTGGAGCGGGCGTGTCGCGTCGGCGCGTTCGTCGCGACGCAGCAGGGCGCGACGCCGTTCCACGACCAGACCGGGATCGACGCGCTCAAGAGCAAGTGAAGAGAGAGAGAGAGGGCGGCGGCGGCGGCGGCGGCGCGGCGGAGGGAGGGAGGGAGGGAGGGAGGGAGGAGGAGGACGCGCGGGCGGAGCGAAAACGATTCCGTCCGAAGAACGCGTCGTCAAGTAAAGAAGTTGTCCTTCCGCCTACGTATCCCTAGTAGCCCTAGTAGCCCTATCATCGACGCGATGCGATGCTACTGTACTGTACGTACTTCCGTGCTCCGATCACACTACGTTGTCGTACTTGCCGCCGTTCTCGCGCTCGCCGCGGACGCACGCCGCCTCCGCGACGACGTTGTCGTCGTCCGCGTCGTCGCCGCCGTCGGCGTCGCCGTCGCCGTCCCGGCTCCCGTTTTTCAACCCGCGTTCGATCGCGAGGTCTCTCTCGAGCTCCCAATCGATCATCGAGAGGTGCGCCACGCTGATCGCGGTCGTGACGCTCAGCCCGACGGTCAGCCCCCACCACAGCCCGGGGAGTCTCATCCCCGCGACGAAGCACAGCAGCCCGCCGGCGGGAAGGCCCAAGACCCAGAACCCCAGAAGATTCCGCTTCATCACCGTGAGCTGCTTGCCCATCCCGCGAAAGACGCCGCCGGCGGCGCCCTGAGCGTATGCGCGTACAAAGAGTGCCCCGCGGTCGGTCAGAAAGAAAAATGATTGGCCGAGGGGGACGCGTGGACGAAAATGATTGGCCGAGGGGGACGGACGCGTGGACGAGAATGATTGGCCGAGAAGGACGGACGCGTTGACGCGCCTGGCCGCCGTCCGCGAGCTGGAACAACGCGGCGATGTAAGCGATCTCCGCCACCGCTCTCACCACCTCCTCGTCGTCCGTGAACAGATACCCCAAGTAATCCGCGCACGCGGCGAAGATCACGCCGCAGATGGCCATGAACCCCAAGGACACCGCGAAGGTGATCGCCGCGGCGTCTTTCGCCGCCGCCGCGTCGCCTAGCGAACGTCGGGGTGGAGTTCAAAGGCGTCAGTTGGCGTTGAAAGGCGTCGAGGACGGGGATTGAAAGCGAGGGACCCTGGGTGGAGAGACGCGCCGGGAAAGGTCCTCAAGGATCGGCGTTCACCACGCCAACGCGGTCGTATGGGGACCAGTGTGACGTAGAACGCACCGCCCCCGAGCGCGGCGCCGATTCGAATCGTCGCCGCCGCCGCCACCGCGAACGGCAGCGACAGGAACGAAAACGTCGCGAGCTGCAGCATCGTGAGGTGCGCGTCCAGGGCGACGGTGCCCAGGTACCCCGCCATGATGGTCGTGATCTCGAACGTCCACGCCTCGATCATGAGCATCGCGAGTCCCGGCCCCGCGAGCGACGCGAACGCGACGACGCTTCTCCGCAGCCGCCGCCATCCGATGAACGACCTCGGCCGCGTCTTCGCCGTGCTCGCGGGCCGCGACAGCAAGTACGTCATCCCGGCGATGAACTGAAACCACCGCGACGCGCTCGTCGCGATCGGCGCGCCGTCGAACCCCAAGTCCGCGGCGTAGATGAGCGCGTAGTTGAGTCCGACGTTGACGACGTTGGCGATCACCGCTATCCACACCGGCGGCGCCAACACGCGCTGCGTCTGCATGAACTTCATCGCGACGATGAAGAGGTAGTACGGCAGGAGTCCCCACGTTAGGTGCGCGCAGTACCGCCCCGCGAGCTTCGACAGCGTCGCGTCTTGGCCGATGGCGAGCAGCAGCGGCGTCGTCGCGACGCCGAGGAAGACGCTGACGGGAATCGACAGCGCGGACACCACCGCGCTCGCGGTCTGCGTCCACGCGCCGTACGCCTCGAAGTTTCCCGCGCCGAAAGCCGCGGCGAGGAGCGTGTCCAGCGCGGTGAGCAGGCCGAGCATGGGGAAGTGGAGGAGGTAGAACACGGTGTTCCCGAGAGCCGCGCCGCCGAGTTCTTCCTTGCCGAGGCGGCCCACCATGGCGAAGTCCACGAGCGTCATCGTCACGCCGAGGAGGTTCGTGGCGACGATCGGCAGCGCGATGCGGAGCATCACGCGCAGCTCGCGCTTCCATCGCTGCGGCGTCGTGGAGGGCGGCGGCGGCGGCGGCGGCGGCGGAGGCTCCGACGTCGCCATCCTCGCCCTCCGCCCGGCGCCTACGAAAGTAACGCCGCAGTGGTGGACGACGTGGCTCTGTTTTCGCGGCTGAGGGCGGCCGACCGCTTCGTCGGTCAGTCGAAAGGCATCGCGGTCAAACTTTGAAACCGAGGGGTGGGTGAAAATTGAGTCCGCGAAAGCGGTTTTTTGAAAGCGACCACGAGCACGTATAAACGTAAAACTCCTCGGCGCCCGCCAGCCCCGCCGTCGTCGCATCGTCGCGCGCGCGCCGACACGCGGCGTCGTCTGTCTGTCTACCCATCGCGACGCGACACGATGGCGGGCGGTAAACAGAAGGGGAAGATCGCGCCGTACCTCGTCTACGCGAACGAGGTGCGAGAGGACGTGAAGCGCGCGCTCGTCGACGCGGGGGCTGTCAAGCCGACGATGGGAGAGATCGCGAAGGCGGTGGGCGTGCGTTGGAAGACGCTGAGCGACGCGCAGAAGGCGACGTACAAGGAGAAAGCGGACGCGATCAACGCGGAGACGGCGGCGACGCGCGCGGCGGACGCGGAGGGCGGGGAGGTGAGCGACAGACAGCGCGCGATCGATCGTCGCGAACCCGTCCCTCGTTCGTTCGTTTCTTTTGAACGCGACGACGCACAGCTGTGCGCCGATCGAATCGATGCGATGGGTCGGTCGATCGTTCGACCTCGATCGCGGCGACCGCCACGCGCGCCGCGGCCGCGTCCTCCCTCCTCCCCACTAAACAACCCAACCACCACCCCACGCGCGCCGCCCTCCTCGTCCTCGATCGATCGCAGGCTGGCGAGGACGGCGACGACGAGGACGGCGAGGAAGAGATCGTCACCCTGCCGCTCGCGAGGGTGAAGCGCATCATGAAGTGCGACAAAGAGGTCAAGACCGCGGCCGTGGACGCCGCGAAAGTCGTCTCCAAGGCCACGGAGCTCTTCTTGGAGTCGCTCACGGAGGGCGCGTTCCTCGGGATGAAAGCGGGGAAGCGGAAGACGGTCAAGTACGACGACCTGGAGGGGTTCGTGATGCGGAAGCCGCGGCTGGAGTTTTTACACGACCACGTCTGGGCGTTTAAACCCGCGGAGAAGGAGCCCGGCTCAGGCGCGTTCTGTGATCGCGCCGGTCCCCGCACGACCGCGTTCGCGCGTTGCACGCCGTTCCTTGAGGACTTTTGCCCGCGCGCGATTCTCTCCGCCCAGGGTCCCTCGCTTTCGATCCCGACACACCGCGATGTTGCCTTTGAACTCCGCTTCTGACGCCTTTGAACTCAACCCCGACATTCGTCGCTTCGCGCGGAACGCCCCTCAGGGAGGAAGGACAAGGAGAACAAGGAGGACGGGGACGAGGACGGCGGGCCGCCGGAGGCGCCCTCGGGGGCGAGGCAGGTGACGGAGTTTTTCACGAAGAAGGCGGCGACGCCGGCCGCCGCCACCGACGCCGCCGCCGCCGACGGCGACGACGGCGACGACGCGTGACGCGAGCGGCTTCGGCGGGCGCGTCGCGCGCGGACACGACGAACGGGACGGGACGGGACGGGACGACGCGCGCGCTGTAGGGCGGCATACATACCATAGCGCGCTCGCGCGCTCATTAAACAAAATAAATTACATCACGCGCGCGAATCGCCCGCCGTCACGGCAACCTGTCGTACACCCCCTCCAACCTCCGCGCGCCGCCGTTGCGCGCCACCTGCTTCCAATACCTCGCCTCCTCCGCGTCCTTGTTGCACCCGTACCCGGTCGCGAGCATCTCCGCGAGGAGCGCGGCCTGGTTCACGTCCCCGTTCTTCGCGTTTCGAAGCGTGTCGATGAACCACCGCTCGATCGCGTTCGCCATGACGTCTTTCAGGTTGCCGCTGTGGACGGGTTCGTATCTGACGTCCGAGTCGAACGATTGCATCGGATGGTCGCTCGAGTGCGCGCCGACGTCGTCGGCGCCGGCGGCGGCGCCGCCGCGGTCGCGCTTCGATTGCGACGCTCTGTGACAGCTATCGCAGACGTCTGGCGGAGAGAGGAAAGAAGAAGAACAGGGAGGGGAGAGAGAGAGGTGAGCGAGCGATCGCGCGGAGCGAACGACGGGCGGGGCGTCGGGGCGGGAGACGTGGGGGCGGCGCGAGCGCGAGCGCGAGGCCGTCGCCGTCGCCGTCGGTCGGACGCGCGCGCACCGAAATCCTCGCACACGTTGCAGCACCACCGCTTCCCCTCGATCGGGAGGTCCCCGCAGACGTCGCACGAGAACCGGAGCTCTTTGTTCAGGACGCACGGCTCGTACATCGCGTCGCGCGCGCGCTTCCCGTCGCGTCGCGCGTCCCCGCTCGCTTCCTATTAAGTTAAAATTGCGTTCTCGCTCGCTCGCTACGATTCGTCCGAAGAGGCGGCCACGCCGCGCCGTGGAACGTTCCTCTCGCGCGTCTCCGCGCGCCCCCGACGACGTCGCGGTCGCCGCGGGTTCTTCCCGAGCGCGCGGTGCGAGCGTATCGGCGTGTCTGCGGGCGGCAGATGCGCGCGGCGGTGTGTTGCCGTCGAGGGATCCGGTCCGATTTCTTTCACGCGTTTTGGCAACATGCGAGGACGACTCGCTGCGAGCGGCGGGTAGCGGGGGCGAGTCGCGAGTGCGACAGTTGCGTCAAAAAATGGTGTGTCAAAAAATGGTAAACAACGAACGCGCCTCTCCTCTCCTCTCTTCCTCCAGACGGGCGCTCACTCGATGAAGTACTGCCCCCACAGGCTCGGGCCCATCGCGGTCTTCCCCTCGAGGACCGCCTTGGTCTTCTCCATCGACGCGACGCGGTCGTAAAACGCCTTCAGCTTTGGAAACGCGTCGAGCGACGTCTTCCCGGCTTCGCCCGCCATGAGCGAGACCTGCCGCGGAGAGGAGGGGGGGGGATCGATTAGGAAGTATAACGGTCAGTCGATATGCGTTTCGTTTTTTCAGTCGACCGGACGACCGGGAAGAGACGCCACTACAGTACAGTACTATTCCCGTGCCTGATGAAGGATGGACCAGAGGTAGAACTCGCCGACGGAGACGCCCGTGGACGTGAACGCGTCGCCGCCCGCGACGACGAGCTTCTCGAGCATCGCGTAGTGTTTCGGAAACGCCTCCGCCCACATCGCCTTGTTGTCCTCCGCGCGGTCGCCGAGCTCTTTGAACTGCGTCACCGCGCCCTTGGCGAGATCCTGCGGTGGCGGAGGCGTGGGGCGATGCGGCGCGCGCTCGGTCAGCATAACGGACGCGAGCGACGAGTTATATAGTACGTTACGAGTAAGTTGTCAACTTACTCCGTCGTCGAAGAGAAAAAAAAGAATAAGACAGACTCGCGCACCTTGTAGATGTCTTCCGTCTCCGAGATCAGCATCGAGGAGACGGCGTAGTCCGCGATGTCGTCGCCGCCGTCCGTGCCCGCGATCTTGCCGATGACGTGCGCGCACGCCGCGGTCTGCGCGATCGGCTTCCCGTCCACGAAGAGAACGGGGAGCTGGTCGAACGGCGCGTCGTCCGATGCTTTCATCGCCGCCCAATCGAGATCGCCGCGCAGGACGTTTTTCGCCTCGTACTCCAGGCCGCCGTGCTCGAGGCACATCACGAGAGGGAGGCCTGCGGCGTGGCGTCGTTCGTCGCGCGGAGGTCAGGACGGCGCGGCGTGGGATCGCGTCCGACGGCGCGCGATGGAGTCGACCCGCATGAATCGGTGGATCGATCGATGATGGAAGGCTTCCGAACCCGCGAGACGGTTTTTTCGTGGAAAAAGTTTGGGAAGAAGAGATGCAGCTCGAACGCGACGCGACGTCGCGGACGCGCGGTCGCGGCGACGCACCTCGGGCCATGACGTCGAAGTACACGAGCTTGAGCGTTGGCGCCATGTTCGGAGAGGCGCGGGCGGGGGGTAAGCGCGGTGAAGACGCGGGTGTCGTGAGGGCGTGCGGCGCGCGCGCGAATGAGTGACGCGACGCGATCGAGATCTCGCTT